ATACTCTACTTTCAGATACAAATATTCTTGGTGAAGGCAGCATTATAGTGCATATTACTGGAAGTGAGTAGTTTACAGGTTCTCCACAATATACTAGAGAATGAATCACTCCATTACATAGGAAAAACATAAGAAGGAATAAGGCTAAGAACTCAGACAGTAATCCTTCCTCCATATATCCTACTAAGACTGTAATTTAAACAGTGACATTGCTGGAGTCAATGGTCCTAAGGACAAGGCCACCTTCCTTCCCTGTTTGGCGATGGCCTAGGGAAGGTATGGCTTCTGAGTCTTACTTTGGCCATAAACTAAAGGTAGTAAATGGAATCTGCCTGACAGGATTAATCACTAAGAAGCAGGATATATAAAATACTCAATTGCTGGTATGTAATAAGCACTGAATAAATTGGGAAGAAATAATCATAATAGAATGAGAGGAACACATAATTATGGTAACAATATCAACAATGCCATCAGTTGATTTTGGATTCCAGTAATGTGACCTGTTATCCTCACTGTTGCATACCAACCATGAGATGATGCTAGGTTTGTTCTCATCTGTACACTTGCCCAAGGCTCCTAAAGTTACTGTGGGAACTTAATAGCATGTGCCTGGCACAGAAAAAGTTTTCAAGAGAGTCTTATCTGCTCCCAAAACCCTTCAAAGACATGTACTTTTCTCTGAAATGGGCTTATCTCTCCCTATAATTTGACTGTGGTCAGGAGGACTCCTACCAAAAATCAGCAACTTAGGGAAAAGACCAATTCAACATCAATAAATGGGTTAGATGAGCTTTACTCATGAACTAGGAAAATCTATATGTTGGTGAGATGAGCCCCACCCCAGCTGGGAAAAGTGTCAAAGTTACTGAGCTTGACTGATGTTGGATGGCCTAATGATTATATCCATTCCTCCACAGTCCTAGATTCTTCCCTGGAGGAACCACAGATGTCCTTATAGGCAAAAATGGCCACATGCTTATGTTTAGAGAAAACAGTGCTGGGATTTAAGAGCTAGCTCATTGGTTAAAAGAGCACATTCTGCTTTTGCAAAGGACCCAAGTTTTGTTACCATAGCAACAGCAGAAGGCTCACAACTGACTGCCCAAAGGGATACAGAACCCTCTTTTGGCCTCTAAGGATACATGCACTCATGTATACATAGCACAGACATATATTTTTAATATATTTGTATATATATTATTTTTTCTTATTTCACATATCGATCCCAGTCACCTCTCCCTCCCTCCCATGACCTCCTGACCCCCTCCCGTCTCATCACCCCCCCCACTCCACAGGAAGGGTGATGCCTTCCAGGAGGGATCATCAAAATCTGTCAAGTCATTTGGAGTAGGGTCTAGGCCCTTCTTCCTGCCTCTAGGGTAAGGGAGTATCCTTCCATGGGGAATGTGCTCCCAAAGTCCTTTTGTGCACCAGGGATATATCCTGGTTCCATTGTCAAAGGTCCCTTAGACTGCCCAGGCCTTCTAACTGAGACCCATGTTCACAGAGTCTGAGTTGGAACAAAAAGCAGTTCATCTTGGAGAGTGCAGGAAAGAACCTAGGAGACAAGTAGATTAAAGAAAGTAAGGTCAGCCCTCCTAATGGAGATGAAGACAGAGGACCCATGGACAGTGCCTGGAAAGAAGGAAGAGCAAGGAACCAGACAAAGGATATAGCAGAAGGTTTGCCATGAGCAAGTATAGGGGCAACAAGACTCAGACTTCTCCATGGTCGTGACTGGAGCCCCAAGGCCATTCAGTAGGCAACAGGACTCAGAGTTCTTGCAGGATTGCTCACTCTCAGACCTTGCTGCCACTCCTCTCTGAGACGCAGCAACAAGCTGAGTGGAAAGGGCATGGCTTAATCAGGAGTATGAACGCAGCTGACAAATTAGAGCATGAGCATGCCCTGTCATCATCTCAGGACTCACTGTCCCCGAAAGAATCAATACCTGGAGGGACAAGAACCATGTTTTTAGAAACTCCTGTATGGGTAATTTATTTCAAGTGAGAAGAGAGTTTATTTATGTTGGCACCCCCAGGAGTGCAATGTACAGAATATTTACACAAGACAGAAAATGCTATCATTTCTTCAAATCGAATTGCCCCCTTTGAACAGTGCAATTTGAAACGCTGAGTGATAAATTTCATCACCCATATGCTCAAAACACTACCAAGGAACCATTCCCACTACTACCTTCTGCTGCCCTCTGCAAGGAGAGGAACTCTTCCGCATAGAATCTATCTTCTAAGGCACCAACAAGATAGGCAGGGCTGGAGGTATTAGCTCAAGAGTTAAACACATGATTATTCAGTGGGGACTAGAGTTGGAAAACAATATCTTCTCCTCATCCATAGTTATGTTCTACTATTGCTGAAACTACTTCAGGAAAAGAGTTTTTATAAAAAGCAAAACAAATGAAAATGATATAAATATTGAATGAAAAGAAATAGGATATACCTTTGCAACTGACATTTTCAGGTGTTCCTTAAAAATATTTAAATTGGCATTTAAAACATTCAAGGAGCACTGGGAAAGAGGGTTCAGTAAGGTGCATGCTTGCTACATGGACACGAGGACCTGGTTTTTGATCCCAGCATCTATATAAAAAGTTGAGCAAGGCAATGTCTACCTGTAATCTCAATGCAGGGGCAGTCATATAGGAAAAGATGTAGTGCCTATTGTTCCAGTTAGTCTAGTGTTCTAAGCAGTTTCCCACCAGCCTGGTCCCAGAGCCACATCGGCCCCCAAATAACATGCAGCCCCTAAATAACAGGGTATTAATTATGAGACTAGCACTTCTTATTGGCTACCTCTTTCTTAAATATTAACTCATTTCTATCCATCTAAGTGTTTCCACGTGGTTTTATCTTGCTGGAGAAAGGGTCTGGACCTCTTACTGTTCCATGGCCTACATTCCTCTCTACTACATCTCCCAGAATCCTCCTTGTCTTCCCACCTATCTTGCCTTCCTATTTGCCAACAGTGCTTTATTCATTAACCAGTAAGAGAAGCGTATTTATAGAATCTCCCATCAGTCTAGTTTAATCAGTGATTCAGCAAGAAACCCTGTCTCAAAACATACAATAAATAAGGCATAGAATATTGAGGAGGGCATAATATATTGACCTCTGACCTCCACCCACACTTATATACATGTACACACACTGTTTGAAGAAATATTCCAGATACATGACCACTAACTCATTTTCAAATGAAAAAAGTATATGAATATATATATATATGTTAGTGGCTATTTCTAAAACCTGGGAATATGCACATAAACATGTTGGCTGTGGCTGTCTCTAGTTAGTGTGCTTATCACTCTGTGTGTGTGTGTGTGTGTGTGTTAAAGACAGTATCTTGCTGTGTGGTCAGCTTGGCATTGAACTTATAACTCTCCTACCTCAGTGTTCTGAGTGCCAGAATTACCATCTTCACTATAAAAAGCTCTTCCTTTCCCTCTTATATCTCTGTGTTACCCAGTATGGTAGCCATTAGCACGTGCAACTACTCAAGTTCAGTTTAAATTAAATTAAATTTGAAAAATAATTCAAACCTGCATACTTCAATGCTTAATGGCCACACCCCCCTGGTGGCTTCCATATTTGAACATATGGACTTGAATTGTCTATCATTGGGCAGCTCTGGACCACACACTAACCCAGTGCTGCCAGAGAAACATAGTTTGTACAGCCACATTCCTTTTTATACTTTCTTATTCTCTGACAGTTTCCTACACTTATATCATGAATATTTATCATATCTATTCATAAGTGACTCCATCTAACTCCTTCCTAGAGCTCTCCCTCCCAACTTAATATCTTTATTTACTGTTACTAATAACCCCCTGAACCAAATTAGTGCTGTGTATATGTGCATGGCCTGCTCCATGGGAGGGATTTTATGCCTGGTACTATAAACCTTGTCAAAAGCCTCTGACTATGGTAATCATCGGCCCTGGATAGGAACCTACAGTTATTTTTGCTGAATGTTAATGCATCAAGCTGCATTCTATGACATGGCCTTGCACAGCTTGGGTCACAAAACACAGACTAGGGATAATAAGGAAATGAAGAAATGACCATCACATAGACAATAGATCTGGCATGGAGTTATCTGGTCTCTTGGATGGGGAAGGTGCAATACCCAGGAAGCTCAATGTGTTTTTATATACAACTGAACAAGATAGTGGGTACAATCTGCAAACAATGAGGTGGAGTTATTACTTGCATATAAACAAGGAGGTAGGGTTATTATATACAGCTAAGGAAAGAGGCATGTTTAGCTAATCTTGGTAGGAAGAGTCTCTGTAAGGGGCCAGTTTTTAAGCCATAAACATGGGAAGGAGGTCTATGTGGAGATGAGATTTTTTACATACACCATCAGCATTCACACTCACACGAGAGGAAGGTTTCATTCCTTCCCTGTGTCTGAGGCATTGATAATTTTTGACATGGCTGTGCCCATGTCAGTATTACAGAATCACTGAGAACTTCACTTGTTCCCTGCAATTCTAAATATGTCTGCTTATGTTCATAGATTTGTGTGCTTTCAACTTTGGTCAGGGAAGCTTCTTTCTGCCAGGGGTAATGGCTAATGAGAAAAACTCATAACTACTCAACATGGCAAATATAGTAACTGTGTATTTAGCTATGGGTTGGTCTTCTATACTAGCCTCCCACCATCCAATGCTCAGGAACTTCATGGAAGAGGGAGGCAGCAAGAATGTGTGAGCCTGTGGGTGGAAGAAGAGCTGTGAGATGCTGTCTTTTGCTGCATCCACTTTCCTTCAATCTACACCTAACTCTGTTCCTATTGACTTTCTTTTCCTTGATGAAAACTTAACTTTAACCTAACATGCTGCCAGCACCACAGTGTGGTAAATCACATTAACCTCATTTGTAATGCTCATAGCAGTGATTAGCCCTCCCTACTATCCAATAAAGACTAGATCCCTTTGATGCAACTGACTCATAGCATCCTCTCTTTCGTAGGAGCTGCAGTTCCAACCGGAATACTTCCACAGTACCATCATATGTGAAAGGCCCAACAACCACCTCAGCAAATTTAAGGGTTATATGTAAGTACCAAAGACACCTGGACTCCTGGTAAACACCTCCTCTACTGCTAGAAAATACATTTTCTTGAAATGACCACAAAGTTAAGAATCCAGATCCTGAGATTAAAGATTTTCAAGTTTTAAAGACCTGGGCTTCAGGTATAGTACCCCCAAGAATAAACTGTGTGAGCTAGATCAGTGTACTCACTTTTCAGTTTCTTGGCTGCCAACTTTGCAGAGTAAAATTTGTAATACCTTATGCCACAGGACTTCTCTTCCCTAAGATCAAATTGTCTATCATATGCAGATTAGCAAAACTGGGTAAAAAGCTTAGGTTAGCAAAACTGGGTAAAAAGAAAAGCTTGGTTAATCATAGATGTTTGTTAGAATAACTGCTATTCTTCAACTTTTGTTCTGCCTCAAAATTTTACTACACTTCTGGCCCACATCAGATAGATGATCTATTTGCAAAGTAAAAGTCACAAGTACAGATACAAGTAAATGTCTACCCTTGTCCATTAATATAGAACTTCTCAGAGCACTTTTGCAGAATACCATTTTTATAGCCACCCTAGGACATTCCTCTAAAGTCAGTTTTCTCTTCAAACATATAATGGCTGCCTCTATTATGGTATCTCTTTTTTTAATCTCATCTATTCATCCCCCAATTCAATCTTTCTGGTCCCACATGTTCTCCTCTCCTCCCATTCTCTTTCTCCTAACTTCCTCTCCACTCACTGCTGGACCCCAGCACCCGCCCCACTCCCAATATGCTCAGGAGATCTTGTCCCTTTCCCCTTCTGTGAAGGACCTTGCATGAATCTCTTAGGTTCCTTTTTTGTATCCTAGATTCTTTGGCAGTGCTTTACTCAACTTAATACCCCTTCTCTTTGGCCACTGCTGCTAGAGACCTGTCTTCCCCCACCACCTGACCTCAAAACCCTGGGAAATCCAACCGGCCAGCCTATGTTCAACCCAAAAATTATAGACGATTCTACCATCTGGGCCTATATCTCCATCTGGAGAAGGCTTTTAGACCCAGTACCCACAAACCAAATGTCTAATAATTCTGTGTTTCCTCAAAGCCTCTTATTCCTCAATTGAGGAATCCTCTGTGATTATACAGATTGTCAAGAGGAACAGCTTTTTAGTGATCTACTGGAAGATAATGGGCTTCAGAGTTTAAAATTAAACCATTTGGGCTGGTGGGAAAGTTCAATTAGAGAGTCATTCCCTAGTATATACATAGTCCTGAGTTCAATCCACATAACCATGTAAACTGGGGATAGTAACATAACCATCTAATTCTCAAACTTGGAAGGTGTAGGTTCAAGGCTAGCCTTGACTACATGAGACCTTTTTCTCAATAAACAATTGATTAATTGAACAAATGAATCTCTGTAGGACCTCAGTTCTCACTCTGAGACAATATCCTTCTCCTTAATCGGGAGTCTTTTAGCAATGTCTGGAGGCAATATTGGTTAAAACAGCTGGGAAGCTATGCTGCTGGCCTTTTATAGACAGATTCCAGGGTGCCACCCAACATTCTAGAATGTACAAGAATACCCCACAACAAAGAACTGTCCTGCTCAAATGTTAATGCCAAGACATAAATGCTGAATGTTGAGCATAAACATCTCTGTTCACAAAGCGCTCAATAGAGCAGCAGCCATGAGATGGCTAAGCCTTTTCCTACACCTATCCAAAAATGGGCACTATGGGCAAGAGAAGAGGCTGGCTCTAGCCTGTGCTATTACTTCAGACTGTCATAAAAGCCACCAGCACTCTTTCACCTGTGATTCAGAATCCTAAAATGTCTAGTATATTATGTTTGTGGCCTTGGAAAAGGTCTCAGCCTCTATAAGCTTTAGTATTTACAAAATGACCCTGCCAACTTTCCAGAGCCATGCAGAATCAAATGTAATTATGTAAGATAACATAGTTTATAAACAGAATAGGGAATTATTAGCATTTAAGTGGATACTGAAGTTGGACATGATGGCACATGCCTGTAATCTCGGTACCTGGGAGGTGATCATGAATTCAAGGTCAGTTTGAACCACATACTAAGACTCTGTATCAAAAATTTAAAAAAAAAAAAAAAGATTGTCTTTATCAATTGTGTATCCAACAGGAATCAGGGCATTTCTCATCAGAGAAGTTTCTTCTTGCTGTACATAGAGACCTACAACTAGATGATGATGTGCAGAGAGACTTAGGAGCACTCAGCCTTGAATGAGATGTCTTTACCAAACTTTCCTCTCAGAGCTCAGGGGTCTATGTGGAAGACAGTCAGAAGGATTTTAAGAGCCAAGGGTGGGATAACTCCATGGAAAAAGCATCTTCTAGATCCAGTGAAACTGATGCACTCATAGATTCAGAGATGAGGACAGCATAGACAAGACCTCCATCAAGTTCAAACCAAACAAAAATCCCAGAATGGAGAAGGAGATGTGGAAACAAAGTCCCACCCACAAACAAGAAGCTGTTTGTATTTGATACCTACTGGGAGAGATTAAAACCAGTTTACTTTTTCAGTTGAGTGTCACTGGGTATATCAACTACACTTCAGGACAGGCCCCATGCTCAGGAGTAGTTGGCCAAGACAAAATGAAGTCCATGATAAGTCCATGATTTTTGTGTTCTTATTGTTTTGATTTGGTTTTTTTTTTTTTTTTTTTTTTTTTTTTTTTTGGTCTTGCTTTTTTGTTTTGGTTTTGGTGTCTTTTTTGTCTTTGGGATTTGATTGTTTTGATTTGGGGGCATTGTTTTTCCTTAAAAGAGAAAGAACATGAAGTTGGGTGGAGGGGGAGGGAAGAGGTTCTGGGAGCAGTTTGGGAAGGGGAAATAATTAATCAAAATAAATTGTATGAAACATTTATTCCAATAAATGAAAAAAGAGAATCATGCAGTAAATCAATAAGCATGTTGAGTATAAAAATAACATTAAAGAGCAAGATAATTAATCAATGACATATTCTTCCACTTTCCTATAAAGTGGATCTGATAGCATGACCTGGCTTATAAATTCCCTTCAGCTTAATTAATTCATAGAAAAAAATCATGGCTGTACATAGGAAAAGGAAATATTGATGAACCACAGGGAAGAAATTCAGTATTAAGATTGCTGCCTTCCTGTTCTCCCAATGGCTTTAGAATATTACAGTTAAACCTGCTGCAATGCCAGGGGAAAGGAACCGGATTAGAATGCCACGCTGAAGGTAATGGATACATGGAGTCATTCTGGCTCAGACATTTCTAGCATGAAGTGGAAAGCTGAAATACCTCTTGAGGCTTGAGAAAGAAAGACAACATCTGTAGTTAGACAAGGCCACTCTTCCCTCCTCAGAGGCCTCCATGCTTTATGAGAGACAGAGCAAGGGAGTGGATGAGGAGAGAGACTCTGAGAGTGAGGTAGCTCAGGTGTGAGAAGACTGTAACCCTTCTTGCTTTATTTTATGTCCTACATCCACCTCATGATGTAAACAGGAGAATCTAGCTTCTTCTATGGACCACGAAGCCTAGCTGCTATGGCTCTGTTCCAGCAGCTAGGTGAAGGAGGGATGTGAACAGCATTCAACAAAGTCACAGCACCAAACCTTGAAGGTTCAGAGCCTATTCCCCAAACCAATTTGAGGGTGAGAATTGAAATCAGATTTTTTTTTAAAGCAGAGTTCTGCCTTCAGTGTAGGTAAATGAGGAATTCCTAGGAAGGAAAAATTCCCTTCTGATGGTCCAGCCTCACCCAGGCCTCACAGGAGCAATGGTGAAATTAATCTGGACATAGAGATAGGATTCCCCAAGAGCAGCAATAGCCCTTTGAATGTGGAAGAGCGGGAAATGGATTGCTTCACTCATGGCTTCTAGTTCTGTTACAATGACCAGAAACCACATAGAGAGATCAGCAGAACACCACCTGACTTTTACTCCTTCTTCCCAGGGAGCATCCTGACCAGACCAGGACTGGCTTTGGCAGTGAGAGTCTTCTACTCCGAGGCTGCACCATCCGAAACACTGAGGTGGCAGCTGGCATTGTCATCTACGCAGGTCATTGTCTCTGTTCAGTTTCTTTTTTCCAACCTGTCTTAATGCTCCTCTTCCCAACATCTCCTCTAAGTTAATCTTCAGAAAATAGAGACTCCCATGGGCAGAGCCATGCAACTTCTCATTTCCCAGCTAAGCACACAGAGGCTGGGAGCCACAGGAGCTCACTCAGTACACAGGAGACATAATGAGATGCTGAGGCAATACCATGCATCCCACCAGGTAGGGAAAGGGACTCAGTTCATCAGCCAGTGGTGGCTTGGGGATAGATCTTCAGATTAACTCCCCCAGGGAATAATTTCTCCTTTCACATCTCAGTTTTCTTACTTTCTATAGATTCCTGAGAATCAAATGGCCTATCCCATGCCAGCCACCTAGTGCTGTATGTAGTGAAGGAGAGGTTGGATAATTTCAGTTACGTTTTGTTTATCTACTGGATGGCTCTACGTATGGAAACATTCTCATTACTATATAACAATAGCTGAGGCAGGATAGCTTTCAAGAAAAGAGGTTTAATTTAGCTCACCATGTGGGGAGGTATAAGGAGCTGGCATGGCTATTGGCTCAGCTCTGGTTAGGACCATTTTGCCTATGTCAAATCATTATAGGGCAACCCCTTTGTCACAGAGAAACTAGAGTCTTCCCAGAAGAATAATAAGCTCCAGTATGGAAGTATGGGCTTCTCCCAGCAAGCATTTACTGCACTCCTTCTAACTACCTAGAGCTAATTAGACTCTTACTATAGGTTAATTCCCTCCACCACACACATACACACACACACACCTTATCCCAGTTTGCAGATGAGACGTTCAAGTGCAGAGGAATCCATTTGCCTAAGGTCCCACATCCCCTGAGATAAACTCCCTGTAAGCCAAAGTCAAATGTGAACAGAGCTGAGTCTCAACTCTAGTACCCCTGGTCTAACTGCCTTGTCTTTGACCCCACTTCCTGCATAAGGAATGGAGGGGTCTCAAAGGGTGAAGACCCCTATGAGGTGAGCCTGAGGCAGGTAGTAGGCAATGAAAGCAGCAACCTGTGCTTGTCACACTGTCAGAGTCCCTCACAACTTGAATCTAATTTAATAATCTGAACTCATTCACTCCCACTGTTGCTGCTATTTGAAATCCCCAAGGCAGCTAACTCAGTAGCAGTGAAGCCATTTGCTTCTGGAGATAGTGCCCTGGTTTTCTTTAATTTTACACAGGAAAAAAAAAAAACATGAGTGGCATTTTTCCACTTTGCCTGCTGAGTATGCACAGTGATTAAAATCCAGCAACTCCTAAGAAGAGACACAGTCTGACAGCCAAGTGTCTCACCACCTCATTTGAAGTTCCCTGGACATCATGGCTTGGTGGAAGGAAGACTCCTCACTTCCCACCATGATTACAATATTAATTTATTCTTTCACATTGCACAAGCTCCTTCTATCTTGCCTCTCAGTTTCCCCGGGGAGAAAAGAAGTAACTAGGAAAACCGATAGTCTTCCAACCTTGGCATTTTTTCCTTTGAACAAGATTTGATGTGGAAGTGTAGCTGATGAATGCTGGGGTAACAGATTTGGGCTCTACTGTTCTTCCACATGAAATGTCACCAGCTTAGACACAAAGTAACAAACATGAGAACTGCTGTCCCCAAGCTCAACCCTTCCCCAGGACCTTTGCACATCATTTCTTTCCATCTGAATTCCCAATTTCTCCCAAAGGTCATGAGACAAAAGCTATGCTGAACAATAGTGGGCCCCGCTACAAACGCAGCAAAATTGAGCGGCGCATCAACACAGACATTTTCTTCTGCATCGGCCTCCTCTTCCTCATGTGTCTCATTGGAGCTGTAGGTAAGGAATGTTCTGCAAAAGCAACACAGAAATCCAATTCTTTTAGCAAGTCACTATAATTCTGAACTTTAACTTCCTTAAATCAAGTCTACACTACCTACTTTAGGGGAATACTCCATGAATATCTCCTGAAGGTATATATGTTCTTAAATATTAGCAATATTGTCAATCACTGATGGGTTGAAAACAGTCTCATGGAACACAGGTGTTTTCTGAGCATGGAGGGAGAGCAAGATAGTGAATCATAGGACTGATCCTTAGAGAACCCACAATCTCCCCAGGAGGAGTAAAAATAATAGAATCAAGCACTCACCCTGCCTGCCTCAATGGAGAACTGCCCATGGGTACTGCATTATTTGCCTATTGTTGCCATGAAACCAAGTAATACTGAGGGATTCGCAACAGCACACATTTACTCTGCTTCTACTTCTTCTTCTAAGCATCAGAAGTCCAAGTTGACTGGGTTAAGATCATGATTTCAGCAGATCTTCTTCCTTCTGATAAGACAAAAAAGAGGAATCAGTCGTGTCTTTGTTTCTAGAAGCTTCCTATATGTCTTTGTTCATTACACTAGAAGGATCTTCCTTTCTCTGCTCACGCCTCCCAAGCCTTGTTTGTAGTACCTCCTTTTGTAAACATTTGTAATTACATCCTTTAAGCCACCAGGAGAATCCAGGATATTCCCTATTTCAGATTTCATGAGTTAATCTCCTCTGCAAATTACTCTTTGCCTCATAAGAACCCACCAATTAGAATGTTAGGGATGTTATCTTGTTGGGGTGATGTGTTATTTTGCCTCTAATGGGCACCAATGAAGGAAGTCTTTCCTGGAGAGGTATAGGCTCTAGCTGATTACTAAATGAGGTGGACATTTACTACAGAAGATAGGTGGCAGACACAACCTCAGGAGCATAATAAGGCAGGGAAATCTGGGGGGGAGGGATGGGGGCGAGAAAGAATGCTTTAGCCAAATGGTCAGCACAGGAGGGTACAAAGCTGGAAAGGAGAATGACTGTAGACAGAGTAGCCATTGACTATCTAGTGTATAAGAGCAAGATCAAGCTCAGAAGGCACAGAAGAAATGAGCTAGAACCATTTAAGTTGATCTTCAGAGTGGAGACAAGAAAGTGTTCTCCATGGGGCTCTTATCCATTCTCACCATCATCTTTAACCTATGGGTGTCTCACAGAATGCTTAAGGAGGCCCCACAGAGAATCAGGGATGATCAAGAAGAAGAAAATCACAAGCCCAGACACCCCCAGTGACCCTGATCCAAAAAGCAACAATGATGTTTACTACCAGCCTCATTCTGAACTCATAGCCATCACTGTATTTAAAAAAAAAAAATGATGTCTAAAAGACAGAGGGAAAGATCTAGTATATCAGTGTAGCAAGGACACTGGGACTTGGCTCAAGGTGACAGGTGTGTATATTTAGTGTACATCAAAGGTGAATCTACCAGCTGTGCTTGAGTGGGTGGCTCACAGCTGGAAAGGCAGCTTGAGAAGATAGAGGAAACCACAGTAAGGACACAGCCACTCCCACCCCTGCCCACATGGCTGCAGGAACTATGCCTCCACATTGAGTAGATTTTTCAGGCACGCCAGAATTGAAAGTTTATTTGAGATCACTATGTCTCCAGACAAAAAAAAGTTAATGATTACACACAAAGATAAGGCCCCCAGAGTTGGCTTTATGGGTTCTCAAAAATGATGAAGGGAGAACATCAATAAAGAAAGCAAGCAAATTCTCTATAGAAAATAGAAACTTTTCTGAAACAGGACGCTTTGGTACTTCATCAAAGCATAATAGCCTAAAGAGGAGAAAGTTCTCCCATGACAAGTGTGATTCCAAGACTCCTTATAACAAGATGTGTTTTCTTGCTGTGCCCATCATACCCTCCTGCATACACACACATATGCAAGCGCGCACGCACACACACACACACACACACACACACACACACACACGCGCGCCCAAGCTGCAGAATCCTCTGAGATTTCTGGTTTACCTTGTGGCTTCTCTGCTTTCTCATCTTACTGTAGGGGCCCTTTCTCTGTGCATGTATTCTGATCTATACTATCAGCATTCAATTATATCATGTCTGTAATGTTCCTTTCTTCTGAAGTGACCATAAAGAATTTGGCCCAGCCTCGAGGGATGGATGACACCTTATGGCTCTTATTCTCTATAGTTCCTGCCCTGAAGCCAAATGCTTTTGTTTTAGTTAGGGTATATTCCACATCACATTCCATCATTAAGAGAAGTCAGGGAGGAAATCTAGAGGCAGGAACTGAAGCAGAAGCTATGGAGGAGTGCTGCTTACTGGCTTTATCCTCGTGGCTTGCTCACTTGTTTTCTTGTACCAACCAGGACTACTTGCCTAGGGGTGGCATCACCTCAGTAAACTGCTCTCTCCCACATCAATCAAGAAAATGTACCACAGATTTGTCCTCATGCCAATCTGGTAGGGGAATTTTATCAGTCAAGGTTCTCTCTTCCTTTTGTTAAAATTGACAGAAAAATAGTCTGCACAGAATTCTACCCAATGGGTTACAATAACCCTATAGGATAGCTATCATTAACAGAAGAGGACATTCAAACACATCTGTAGCAGGTGCTGCATGCAGCTCATCCTGCATAATTCTGTGATCATGGATGCTATCACCCCTTTAGCAAATAAGGAAAAAAAGAGTTCTGTGTATATTGGTGTGAGTTCTGTGGACTCCCACAGCATTCCATGCCCTAGCACACACCCTATCAGGGTCCTTTAAGGTCAGAGTCATTTGCTTAGTGGTAATTACTCATGAACAAAATCCAAGACATACAACTAATAATTATTGGATATAGGAGGTAAGAGTGGGAAGAGATAGATAACTAAGTAGATGAATAGACATAGGGATGGGTAGGAAAGAAAACTGGAAGACAGATGTGTCAAGACTGCCCAACTACACACTTCTTACAAATAAAACTGAAAAGTTTATGTTCTATTATCTTCCCAACCCCTATGTGATAAGACTCCATCAAAATGTAGGTAATATTCATACTAATCTCTCCAGTAAAAACAGACTTAGTATTCATCATTCCATCCAGGGGTCGAATAGTGAAGATTTAGGTATGTGAAGGATTGCTACCATGCAAAAAGAAAAGAGAAGGAGGAGAGAGCCATGTGTCATGGGAATAAGAATGGGATCTTCATAGACCCATCCATGTCCAGGAACAAGTCATGGGTACCTGGCCAACTTACGACTAAGTAAAGACTTAACCTCATGCCTAGATTTGCTTGTACTCAGGCCACAGCCTCTGGAATGGGACCTTTAAAGAGCATCCTCCCTTTGATGTGCCAGATGCTGATGGGAACTTCCTTTCCCTGGCCCTCGGAGGCTTCTATATGTTTCTCACAATGATCATCCTGCTCCAGGTAAGCTCCCTAACTTCTACAGCTTTGGAAAATTAAATAAATAAATAAATAAATGCTAACCCCAGAAAGAAGTAATAAGGATAAGATGGGAAGAGTCATTGCTTTCGGAGCATTTACTAAGTATTCATATTGATAATGTCAGGACAACCGCTCAGATAGCTATAGGAAAAAGTTAAGAGTAAGAGAGCAACAGTCACCCATGTATATGTTCCTTTACCAGACAAAGAACAAAAAAACAATCCTAAAACCCATGATCAAAGGGACAGTAAATAGCACAGAGAGCTACCAAGGACTCTCCAGCCTCAAGTGTTGGAGATAGAGAAAATTCACAGGTTAGTGTGCTAGCATTTGATAGAAATGGGGAAGAACAAAGTGGATAAGAAAAACATAGTGAAGACATATAAACTATCTAGTAAGAGATTAAGAGATATTTCTCTTTAAATATTTGGGCTCTATAAAGAAACACAATTGATGAAAAATGAGAAGCTGCTGTTTTGTTTGGGTGACATCTCATCTACAGTCAATGTCTTTTAGAACTCTTTCTGACTCATGAACCCCTTTTTAACCTCCCATTCATTATAGCAGTTTGGTCCTTCTTAAAGGAAAATAAAAACACACCTCTTCTCTGCACAGAGTCTGCTGGTAATTCATGGTTGCTCAGAATCAAATCCAACGTCCTTATGGAAGCCAACAGGGCTTTTAATGATCTGGACCTTGAACCCATATCCCACAGCTCTCCTCCTCCATTCTTCCTGAATTATGCCTGTTCACTATCACCTCCTGAGCACACAAACCCCTCCCACTGCCGAGAATTCCCCACCTAATGTGATCCTCACACTGTCATCTCTTCAATCTCTGCCCAAAGGTCATGTATATGAAAGTCCATATGATTTTGTCCTCTCTGTTGTCCTTTACTCTATTTCATGAGACAAACACACTATATATGTTGACTTGTCTATATGCTGTCAGTAGAATGAGTTCTTTAAGGTTAATTTTGTTCTAATAACCCCTGGAACAATGTGCAACGAAGAACTAGAGGGTAAATAAACATCTGGCATTGGACTTGTGAACATAATCAGCAAAAGGCCTGAGCACCTCGAAAGGTGCCTGTGACCCTCCATGTCACAGAGATCTGAGGGCTCAGGGGTCTCTTGAGAGTAGTGCTAAAACTCCTATACTCCAACATGTCAGTAAATAGCCACTGATGAGTGCCTGCTCCCCAGACACTGCCAAGAAGGCACATCTCCACTTCATATTCCCCCCAGGAATCCCAAGGGAGGCCTGAAGTCACTAACTTTCAATTTTTCAGGAAAAGACATGCTGTGAGCTGTCCCCACCTTTGTATCAGGTGCCTTTGCTATCCACTAGTGAGTGGTTGGTAGCAGTGATCAAGCTGGTTTCTGACACAGTGTGAATCCTTCTCCCCTCAGGTGCTCATCCCCATCTCCTTGTACGTGTCCATTGAGCTGGTGAAGCTTGGGCAAGTGTACCTCCTTCACAATGACCTTGACCTATATGATGAAGAAACTGACTTGTCCATTCAATGTCGAGCCCTCAACATTACAGAGGACCTGGGCCAGATCCAGTACATCTTCTCTGACAAGACAGGGACCCTGACAGAAAACAAGATGGTGTTCCGGCGTTGTACCATTGTGGGCAGTGAATATTGTCACCAAGAAAATGGTATGAGAGCCCACAATCACCATGCCCTCCCAGGATGACAAGGATAAGCACCTCATCCTCTTAAGAGGACAGGAGGACAAGGACACTATACTGATTCCCCACAGAGTTTCTGTAGAATTTTGACAAATTGTGTCATACCTCCATATAGCACAGTATATTTACATCAAGGATGGGCTAAGACAGAAAGCTTAGGAACTTATCCTGTTACCTGGTCTGAATGGCTCTAGATCTAGGCACAGGGTCAAATTTGACACATTCAGAAAATGCCTTCCATTTTAACAAATGTCTTCAATTTCACCAAGTCCATGTTTTGATTTAGAATATGAAAATACACAATGCCAGGACTGTCACTCTTCATGGTCTGAAGGTAGCCTGTAGAACTGAGTTAGCACACACACACACACACACACACACACACACACACACACACACACAATAGAGAGGAGGAGTTATTATAGACAGCCCTATCCCCTTTGCTATGGTAATCATTCACCATTTACAGAGGAACTTCATATTTCTCTTAATAATATAATAGGTATATAGCTTCAAAATGATCCTGAGTTGGATATTTCCTTAAAACTTCTAATTGAGGAATTAAAAGTACAGGTTAAATCAAAGTGCAAAGTCATATAACTTTCTCTAGTCTTAGTAGCCCAGCTCCAGTTTTCCATAGACCTTCCCTATGCTCTACCCTAACCCCTGAAGTCTAGAACCTCTCTCAACCACAGCTCAGCCAAGATGTGACAAGATTCCTTTCTTGCAGCCAAGCGATTGGAGATGCCAAAGGAGCTGGACTCAGATGGTGAGGAGTGGACCCAATACCAATGCCTGTCCTTCCCACCTAGATGGGCCCAGGACCCAGCAACGATAAGAAGCCACGGAGGTGCTCAGCCTCTAAGAAGGTCCCAGAGTGCCCGGGTCCCCATCCAGAGCCACTCCCGACAAAGATCTGTGGGACGCTGGGAGATCTCACAGCCTCCAGTGGCCTTCAGCAGCTCAATAGTAAGTCCCTGCCTTTATCCATTGAATCACAATAAACTTATGTCAAGAAGGAAATAGAAAAAGTCCTAGGACATACCAGAGCCTCTATAAACTGTGATTAGCTGTGGGTTTCCAGTCTATCTTGGTGGAAAGAGTAATTTCCTAGCATGTATGAGACCTGCATTCCATCCCAGCTGGGTACCTATAATCTTAGAACTTCTACATAGTGAGTCTGAGGCCAGCCTGGGCTACATGAGACCCCTGTAATTATTTTTTTAAGACATGTAAAGCCTGAAGAGTTCTCAGAATGGCCCCGCTTGGTCACATGTGGAACCTGCACAGTGCTGTGTGAGTGTGCACAATTCTTGTTAGTTGCAAATGTTCAGCATTTGGAAATTGAGAGTTCTTTTATTATTACTGTTTTGTCTTATTTTACATATCAATCCCAGTTACCTCTCCCTCCCTCCTATGCCCCCTGAACCCCCTCCCATCTCATCCCCCCTAACTCCACATGGAGGGTGATGCCTTCCAGGAGGGATCATCAAAATCGGTCAAGTCATTTGGAGTAGAGATTAGGCCCTCCCTCCTGCCTCTAGGTTAAGGGACTATCTCTCCATGGGGAATGTGCTCCCAAAGTCCTTTTGTGCACCAGGGATACATTCTGGTTCCACTGTCAGAGGTCCCTTAGACTGCCCAGGCCTTCTAACTGGGACCCATGTTCAGGGGGTCTGAGTCTGTCCAATGCTGGTTTCCCAGCTATCAGTCTGGGGACCCAGGAGCTCCCCCTTGTTCGAGTCAGCTGTCTCTGTGGGTTTCTGTAGCCTGGTCTTGTCCCCATTTTCTTATCACTCCTCCCTCTCTGCAACTGGATTCCAGGAGTTTGGCTCATCTTAAATATTAGTTTCTCCTGTTTGAAAATGGAATTGGGAAATTTCCTGTATTAACCCAGGGTTTTCTCATGGCAATAATTGGCTTGAATTAAGGAATCCTTACCACATGGGCTGCTACAGCCCTCAGTTCCCCCAAAGCCCCTCCCTTCTCCAGTTGTCACTACCACAGCTGAGAGCCTGCAGCCTCCTCATTATGCACACTTTCCAATTATATAGCTAAAAAAAAAAAAGAAAGAAATATTTTATGTCCATACTTCCATAAACTAGAAATACAAAAGAGAACCCTTTAAGGCTTTGTGTACATGGAAAAAGGGTGAAAGAAAATATTTTAGTAGTAATTGAAGAAGAATATTAAAAAGCTGGGAAGTGAAGACTATCTACATCCAAACTGCCAAACTGCTTCCTCACCTTAGGTTTGTGCCATGGTTCCAATGTGAGAGTTCATGTTTGGGTTGCCATTTGTCTTTTCATATTTCATTCCTTCAAAGCCATTGCTAAATATCCACTTAGAAAATGAAGACACTGAATTCATCCCTCCAAATTGCACAGCAGTTCCTTGAGGTCAAGGCCAAAGCTGGAGCCTTCTGGCTTCTGCTCTATTCCTTTCTCTACATATACTCAGAAACCCATCATCCCAAATTGTAGAAAATGACACAGGATGGGTCTGGAGAGATGGATAAGCAGGTAAGAGTACTTGCTGTTCATAGAGAAGAAAAGAGTTCTGTTCTCTGGGCACCTAACCTCTTTGGGTACCTGCACAGACACGCACACATAAATAAAAATAAAATAAAATTCCATAGGGAGCCACAGCTATCTCTAAGCAGAGGCAATAAATTAGCCTGAAAGTGCTATTATGCTATTAGAAAAATGAGATTTTAAGTCAATTTCTATTGAATGTTTTTTTAATTTCTGTGTGTGTGGGGTGTGTGTGTGTGTGTGTGTGTGTGTGTGTGTGTGTGTGTGTGTGCAGGAGGGTGTGGGTGACACTTTTTGTAGTCATGGTATATATCAATTGTATATGACTAGGTTTTTCTTTCAATCTAAAACACTACTGAGACCATTTTCTGTGCTGCTATCTGGGTTTCTCTAACCATGTCAAAGAAGGGATGCTGTGAATCTGTATTCTGGGTCACCACATCTCTAATTTTAGGGTGAGTGCAAGGCTATGTTTCTGCTCTGGCATTATCTCAGTGCACAAAATGGGACATGAGCTAGGATAAGTCAAGAAAACTTATTGAGAACAAGAGCTCCTCACAAATGTGCAGGAAAAGGGACCCATAGATGTCCATGGTAAGACAATTGTAGGCTTTATTATTTCCTTTTTGTTTTCTCCAAGAAAATAACAATAGGAAGCATACATTATTTTATCATCTCCCTTCTTTAATTCTACTCACTGAATGGGATGCTTTTCTCCTAAAATAATATGTAAATATTTTTTTCAGTTACTTAAATGAAGTCTCTTTGCACCTATTCTATGTCTTTTGGCATTTCACAGTTCTAGATATGTCAGGCATCATATGGGCCTAATAATAAGTGGGCAGCAATAATAAGCTTTTTGGCAGCATCAAGGTAGGCAACATGACGATTCCCTGCCCCTTGCTTAGCCTCAAAAATCCCAGGATCCCAGAGCCAGGTAGTATAGATTCCTTTTTATAAATTTTCATCTTAACTTATTCGGCCCAAGATGATCTCAGATTCCCAGGCTTAAAAACCCCTTCTAGTGAGTATAAAATTTTATGGAGGGCCCTCAACTGATGGCAGTGGGTGGGATGTACTAACCCCAAACTGTCTCATGAACCTAGACTATATGGTCAGTGTTCTTCAATGGCTGGCAGTTTCAAAGGCAAGTTCAAGGTTCATCCCAGAGCATTAAGTAAAGTGGTAAATGAATTCAGACTCACTGCCTATGGCATGGATAGTAGAATAGACAGTGCTGTGTTCTTTTTATGAACAGCTAAGAGTGCCACCAAACAGCCAAGAAGCTGGGATTAGTAAAACACCATATTAACATAATTTTATCACCTGAAAATACATAGAATACTTACAGGATGTTCCCCGAATACTTACAGGATGTTCCCCAAATTAAACAACACCATGTGTGTGCTGACCTCAAGATCCCTTCCAGTTATAAATTAAAATGCCTGGGTCCCCAGCCTCAGATCTCCATCGCAGCTCCACTACAAATGAGTTTATGAGTTCACAATCAACAAGTTGAATGACCTGGAATCATAGTCACTCCTTCATTAAAATAAGGACAACTCTAGTTCATCATATGTTCTAAGAAGACAGACTAATCTCATTTTAAGTGACCTTTCTTTTGACATCATCTATAAAATATTGAACTTTCTACCCTAAGAGTCTAATACATGTCTAGAGATGTAAACATTATAACTTTCATTTCTAGTGACTCTAGATGTAGGTAAGACTAAGAATCTCTTTGGTTAGACCACTTATATCCCCAACTCCCCACAAAAATAGTACGCATGTGACTCAGGTAAGCACCTGATGCCTTGGCTAAGGGAAGAGATTTGTATTGTCTCAAAAACTGCTCACTAGAACTGGAGAACTGGTTCCATGGTTAAGAGCACTTACTGCCTGTGTAGAGGACCCAGGTTCAGTTTCCTGCATCCATATGATGACTCACAACTGCCTGTAACTCCCGCTCCAGGGAATCTAACACCCTCTGGCCTCTATAGGCACAGCACATACATGGTATGCATACATACATACATACATACATGCAAAACATTTCTAGACTTAAGATAAAAATAAATAAATATTTTTAAGATGCTCACTGGCCTCTGATCCTGCACTGGCTACACTCAGGTTCTAAAAGATGACCGTAGAGACCAGGTAGTTCTCTAGAGGTCTATTTTCATCCAGTTGAGGATGGAGAATAGCTTAACTTGCAAGCCTTTTCTACCTGTCTTGGTACCTTCCTCCACCTGGATGTCCAGCATCTAGCCTGGCATATGCACATCTAGGAACCACCCCTTCTTTATTTTTCCCTTTGAAACTGAGTCAGGGCTTGCCTCAGAAACTCCCAAGGTACCATCACTTGGCAGCAGTGTACCAGCTTCTCAAGAGGCCAGCTATTGTTTTACCTGTCACTTGGGGTCAAACCAAAAATAAACAAAAGTCTATAGTAGCAGCAACAACTAAAACTGGGCTTTTTTTTTTTTTCTGTAGCTACAAAACACAAGGCAGCATCAATGATTATCTCCTAATTGCCTGCTATAAAGCTATGGTTTTTAAGGTGGGTAATGTGAAATTGGCACGTCCCCAGCCAATGTTTAATAGCACTGACAGATGGAAAATAAAATGCCTTTTTCCCTGCTCTAAAAGCAGCCAAGATTTATGAAGAGGCCAAGAGACATTGGCTTAAGGTTTTCCAAAATCATCAAACCAAGGAACATCTTCCCGGTTATGAGGTGGAGCTGCACTGGGCACCTCCAGGCTCCTCCACCACTCCCTTCTGTATCATATCTCCTTCCCTGCCACCTCCAGAGAATTCAGGAGACACAACTGAAGGTGGTGCCTTAGGCAGCTTCTTTCCTAATGACTCCTCTGTGAAACACACTGAATCTCCTGCAGATTGCCAGGGCAGCCAGCATATGCCTGCCGCCTCTGTGAAGTTAGAAAAGAGGCCTGACATCATCAAGCAGACACATACTCTTTCTACAGGCAATGTAAGCACACAGGGTAGAACTGTCCTTAGCCCCCAGGGACCCAAATAGAAGGTCAAGAACTGTCAGAAATTCCTTCTTGGGTGGCCACAGCGACTTCTCCTCAACTTTGGTAGTCAACAAATCCTGGAGGTTTCCTATAAATCAGTGTATAAATCAGTAGATTGCAACCTCATTCTTTTGTAGTGGCTGTTGGAAGTTGTTGAATAGTTGAGCCCATCATGTGCTTATTTATACATGTGTGGCAGGCTTTTTACAGTATTGCTTTTAGAGCATCATTGCTAAGTTGGAGTGTTGGTGCATTTCTTAGTCACTTGATTTTTCCCAAGATGTTATACCAGTTGACATGTTCCCCAGCAGCAAACAAAAGGACCTGCTTCCTCCCTACTCTGTTGATTGGATCTGTGGTGACTGTTGGCATCTCTTTGAAATAGCCTTTCACTTATTTGGTCATCTAATGAGGAGCAGGTGAGGAATGCAAGTAGTTTTAGGAGATCTGTGGAAACAAGGCAGAGCATTTGGGGCTGCTCATCAATATCAGGGGTGGGGGGCTGAGGGTTGCAAGATGGAGAAGTAAGGAAGATGGAATCACAAGAGGAGCCATGCCACAAAGGCTTTCCTGGCGGGCTACTTCTGTCTACCACAGGCTTAATGGACTTCTGTATTGAGAAGCTGCCATCCCCAGTCAGTAACAGTGACAGTGTGACTTGAGTGACTTCTTAAAAGTTACTCAAACGAGCCTAGCCAATCAGTGAGCTCCATGTTCAGTTAAAGCCCCTGTCTCAAAAAATAAGGTGGAAAGCAATTGAGGAAGACACCCAGTATGTAGGATGACCTCTTCACCTCCACACTTATGCATGTGTGATCAATGCATGATGTATGCATGTGTGATCAATGCATGATGTGGAGCATCTATTTTTCTCAGAAAGAGGAACACTTCCAGTCTCTCAAACCACTAAGAACTCAGGGTTTAATATACAAGCCACTCTATTATAGCTGACATGCCAGACACTAAAGACTCCAATTTTCACCAAATTCTAAAGGCCTCTTCCTTCTCATGGAAGATCTTGCCTGGTATATGAGTAAAAAAGGGGATTGTGTATATTCTTGAGTCAAACTACAAAGAATCAACTGAGGAAATACCTCTGAATTCATGTAAGAGATTAGGAGAGGCACTAAATTTTGCTAGGCATGAGTTTCATCATCTAAAATTCAGAGGCAACAGCACCCAGACAATATCAATACTAATGGCAGGGATATATTTAGATGGCTGATGTATTCGGAACATATGAAACACTACACATATAGGCCCTCTCATTATTATGAAAAAATGGGCTCTGTATTTGGCTAGTGTTGGCTACTCTAGCTGCAGAACTTTGGAAGGAATACTAATGTACACCCTGTGTCATAAATCTGAAAAGGAAGATGCTATGCTTGTTCTATAGAGATCTGATCTGTGATTTGGGTTTTCACCCTGTCTTGCTAAGAGACAGTAATCAAGTTAGCTCATATCTCTGGGCTTTGGTTAAAATTAAATTACATTCATCTCCACATAGACCTGTGACAACCTGCTGGGCCTAGGCTTGGGAAGGTACAAAGCACTTCAAAATGGGAGCTACTTTTAGAAACACAACATTCAAATACAGAGAAGATGGATATCCCATATTTTAGAGTGACAGATCAAATGGAAAGTCTGACAAAAAATGTGAAAATTGGGAAGTTATGGATCAGCTTCAGCTTAGAAAGTAAAGGAAAAGAGAAAACAGGTCACTTATCTCTGCTTATCCCAACAAGTCAGGATTTTTGGAGCATTTTGCTAGGCAAATTATGGCTTGCCAGGTCAACAGTACCTTCCAACCCATAAGGACCACAGCTGTGCCTTGGCCTACTTCCCTCGCTCTCCTCATATGCTTGGTACCTGGTGGCAGTTCCAGGGTAGAACTTGCTTTTTGTTGTTGTTATTCAGATGGGTTCATTATGAGTTAGAAAACCTCTAATGGTCTCTCTTTCCCATAGTTCCCCTGGGGAAGACAGGACTTTTCCTGTCTCCCTCTTCTCTTCTGTCCTCTCTCTGTCTGTCTCTTTACCTTATTTTCTTACCTCCCCCTCAATAAAACTTCCAATATAAAAAGAAAAGAAAAACCCTAATGTGCTGATGACACTTCTATGGTTACTAAGATCTAGGAGGGATTCTGAGGATAGGAGATGATTCTTAATCTAACTTGAAGAACCAAAGGCATAGATGGAGGTTGTGTGTCCAGAATGCAACAAAGACCTTGGAAAGACTTGGAAATGTATGTGTGAAAGAAAGTAGGAAGAGTTGATGATGCTAACAGTGGTGATCTAAAGATCTTTGGGGAAGTCAGAAGTTGCAGGAACATGGCATAGTAGATACACAAGTGAAGAGTGGAAAGGAAAGCAGAAAGGCAGTAATGCTGGTATAAAGTTGGTGCAAGAAAATGCAAAATTGAAGGCTGGAGGGTCCAAGCCAGACTTGGAAGCAAGAGGAGTAGGGAACAAGTGGTGAGGAAATGCTAGATGGGAAGAAATGCCAGCGCCTGGCAGCTGATGGTTCCATGGAGCTGATTAACAATGAGGAATAGAATAAGAAATGAGCAGGGATCAGTCCAGGGGAAGGGAGGAATGTGCTGGATGCAAGACAGCAGACAAGACAGAATTATCCTTACCCTAGACATGCAGAGCCTGCTGGGAGGCACCTCCCTTCCCGGTTCTTTCAGTAAAAGATCTCACTTGAACACTTTTTCTTCCAGGAAAAAGATGTGACTCCCGATAGAAATCTCCTAAGCAAGGTGAGGGAGGCTGCCCTATGGCTGGAGACCTCAGACACCAGACTTGCCAAGCCTTCCCATTCCAGCACTGCCTCCATCGCTGACTTCTTCCTTGCCCTAACCATATGCAACTCTGTCATGGTGTCCACAACTACTGAGCCTAGAAAGAGGGTAAGGAGCAATGGTGGTTGGGGATGGGGGAAGGGAAGGGAGAGAGAAAAGTATAAAGGCAAATAGGAAAGGAGAAAACCTTAACCAAAAGACATGATCCTTCTAAGCTAGCCACGGTATCATCAGTCCCTCACCGTGAAGATCAGGAATGTTTCTCTCTTTATAAATTAAATGGGAAAGTTACACATTAGGGAATGTATGTGACCTTCAACCTTTGCCTATCCACATGTGAAGCAGATAATGGGTAAATACCTATTGAGTATCTTGCTGTGTGCCAGGTCCCGTGCTAAATACTTTGCCTACATTTACCATCTAATCCTTATAACCCTGAAACATGGTGTGATGTATTTTTGAACTAACAAATGGTGTCGAGTGGAACCAGGATGTATCCCATAGAGGGATACTCCCTTAACCTAGAGACAGGAGGGATGGCCTACTCCCTACTCCAAATGACTTGACAGATTTAGATGACCCCCTCCAGGAAGACATCACCCTACTTGTGGAGTGGGGGGTGGGAAATGGGATGGGAGGGTGGTCAGGGGATATAGGAGAGTGGGAGGGAGGGAGGGATGGAAAGGAAACTGGGATTGATATGTAAAATAAGAAAAATAAATAAATAAATTATAAAAAAACAAGTGGAATCTGAGGTCTTTATAACTAAGGAGTTTTGATAAATACCATCTATGTGGCTCTATCTTATGGTTGCCAATAATACATTATACCTGCATCTGCTTTGATATGGTGGTTAAAGTTAATTAGCTTGTGTGTTATGTTCTTTCTTTAGAAATAATGCAAATATGTGGTAATCTATATATGAAGTTAAACAATAAAGTCAGCTGAGGGTAGATGGGTCTTCAGTTATCCACAGACCTGCTCAAGCTTCCTACAAGTCACTGATAAGAATAATGATTTGGTGCAACTTGCGGCTATAAAAACAAGAAAATGGGATTCACTAGACTATAACTTCCTCTCATTATACCCAGATTTCAAACCACTCAAAAACATCACCTCCTGATCAAGCTTTTTCAGTGACACATAGGAGACAGGAAGCATTATCTGAACAAGTAACTATTTTTTGAGAAGTGCTATTTTGGAAAAGCTAGCATCCAACTTCAGTTTTCACGCTAATGAGAAGGCTTACACTAGCACATAGCTCCAAGCTAATGACTGGGCTCGGTCTCAAAATGGGTCTCGGCTCTATTACCAAGACACCAGGTTACCATGGCAAATGTATTCACCATCTGGATGCCTGCTTTCCACACCCATGCTTGTAGTAGCCCATGAAATTTCAGGGAAAATAAAATGTGATTTGCACAAGGAGAAAGCAGCTCACTATATAATAAACTAAGACAGGGTGTGTACTCTTGAGTGCCTCATTTGAATCTCCTTTGTTTCTTTCCACCATGACCAGAGCAGGATGCTCAGAAACTACAGGAATATGCGCAGTAGCCATACCTAGTACACCAGGCCTAGAAGGAATCATCTGAGCTAACACGCTCTATGAGTGGGTAGGCTGAGGTTCACAGAACATATGGATCTTATCTATGACCTCAGAATATCCAAATAAGCCACTAATTGCAGATGACCTTCAGATTATGTATAAGACAGACTGGGTGCTTACATTAATGCTGCAATTTCCTCTTCCAACCACAGGTTACCACTCCACCATCCAGCAAGGCTCTGGGGACATCCTTGGAAAAGATTCAACAGCTGTTCCAGAGACTGAAACTTTTGAGCCTCAGCCAATCATTCTCCTCCACTGCCCCTTCTGAGCCAGATCTAGGAGAGAGTCTGGGGCCCAACATGGTCACCACAGACTCAGATGAGAAAGATGATGTGTCTGTATGTAGCGGAGACTGCTCCACTGATGGTGGCTACAGGAGCAGCACATGGGAGCAAGGTGACATCCTGGGGTCAGAGTCAGGGGCATCTCTGGAGGATGGGCTGGAGGCCCCAGCTCTCAGCCTAGAAGGACCTGAGCTCTGCTATGAGGCTGAGAGTCCTGATGAGGCAGCTCTAGTGCATGCTGCCCGAGCCTACAGTTTCACACTGGTGTCTAGGACACCTGAGCAGGTGACTGTGCGTCTGCCCCAGGGCATCTGCCTCACCTTTGACCTCCTCTTCACACTGGGATTCGACTCTGTCCGGAAGAGAATGTCAGTAGTGGTGAGGCATCCACTGACAGGCGAGATCATTGTCTACACCAAGGGCGCTGACTCAGTTATCATGGACCTGCTAGAAGATCCAGCCTGTGGTGAGTTCACTTTATGAGGCTCAGGAACACAGGTGGTATAGTCCCAGAGGCAGTGTGGACTGGTGATGAGGAATCAAAGTTACAAGTCACTTACTCCACCATGTCCCAACAAGATCCAGGGCCTAGCCCTGACCTTAACCTGGAGAATTGGGGTGTTCATTAGTGCATTCAAGATGTTACATAGACGTTCTACAAGAGAACCATTTTTCCTTCACTTTTCCCAGGTTCCAGATTTCCACACTCATTATAATATTCATTTTCCATATCCACACCCTGCTTCTTTCTACCTAAACTCCCATTAGTCATACTCAAGAACACACCATGGTCCCTCAAGTGTCCCTCTTTATTATCATCTTCCCCAGTGCCCCCCAGATTCACACACATACACACACACACACACACACACACACACACACACACACACACACATGCACGCACACACCAAGACAGATTTTCATAAACTTGCACAGAGCCAGAAAAATGTTCCAAAGTCCCTGCATGTCAGTGTTCAATTTTGGAGAAGCCTGAATTAGTGTGCAGCCGCATCCTGATTGCTAACAAGAAGACAGTGATAGGGTTATGATTCTCCCAGGATGGTAGATCCCAGCCAAGCTTCAGAATTGCCCAGGCAGCCTGGAGCCTCCTGCATTATCGCTGTGGATCACAGCCAAGAGGTTCATGGGGACTGATTAGTGTTTAGAAAGAGAAGGGAGCTAATTAGTTCTCTTCATCCCTAGACTCTGGCAGACAAGCGAATTCAGTGTGTCTCAGTGGAGGAAGGAAGCCATGGCACTCTGTCTCTGGGCAACAGAGACATGCTACCCTGGAGATTTTGTTTACTCCTTATTCACCTGATTGCAAAAAAAAAAAATGGGTTGAAGAACCTGCCAATAAAAAGCACAATTAGTGTTACTGCATTAAGAAAGAGGCAAACTTTGAAAGGGAGGGGAGAAATTGCATCAAGTTTAGTGTATTTGGAATTTTTGAGCATTCAGTTGCACTTTGAGGTTCCTGGCAACCTGGGCATGGGGAAGGAAGGGCTCACAAGAGATGAGCTTCAAAAAGGATGTTTTTGAAGATAAAATAATATAGTGTTGAGTTGGACATTGCATACATGAAGACCATGCTTAGGTATTTTGAACAAAGAGGAAATATTTGAAAAGATGATTATATTGTATGAAATAGACTGACTGCCCTTCCTTATACTTAGTGAGATCGCTATGAGCAATTACATTTTTCCTTTGCATTGTACAAAGGAATGGGTGAGGTGTTCAAATTCTATTCACTACTGAGGAGCTCTCTTAGACCCCTCCATCCAACAGTGGTAAAGAATTTCTGAAGGTTGCTTTGCTCAGATTTACAGGGTGCTGTGATAGATGAGTGATGCCTGTCACAGCTTAGATAAAGAAAATGACAGTATCATCAGTCCTGTCCCTCCTGAGCCAACAAAGCCCTAAAATATTCTGTCTAATAGAAAACAAACAAATGACTTCAGAAAGAAATGCACTATATGGAACTTTAACACAGGGATTTTGAACCAGGCATTGAGGTATTTTTCACACTACAGTTATAGGAAATGCAAAGGCTATTTTTTCCCTAACACCATCCTTCGTATTGAGAGAAAGTCTAAGTCAGCAAACCCAGAGTACTGAAGAACTCTGCTAATGAGATCCAGGTTTGCAGCTGTCTTGAGACTGGGCTTGACAAGGACCAAAGTAAATGACAGAGGATGATGGATTGTCTAAGTTTCCTGAGAACACTTTGCAAAGTTGGTTGGCTCTGCAGGCAAGGCTGGCAACTGAAAGCATACACTGGGTAACAAGGAAGACTAAAATTCCTAGCCCCTGACCCTCCACCTGAGGATAGCTTTGTATTAACTCTCCAGGCAGTTCTCTTGTAAGTAGGTGTATTTGAACAATACCTTACTTCCCTCCATTAAGTAGCACTTTTCCCTGCCAGGCTTTTGAAGAAAAGCAATAAAGAGAAGACAGTGTAGGAACTCTTAAAATTATCCTTTTCTGGGGCAGCCTGTCATCACAGCACCTTTTGCATGTTCCTAGAGAGAACTAGGGTAACCTAGGAAGATTCTGGGGAGTTAAGGGTGAAGCTCATGAGAAATAATAACTGTTTGACAGCGAGTGATATTGATGTGGAAAAGAAGCTGAAAAGAATCCAGGCCCGGACCCAAAAGCATCTGGACTTGTATGCAAGAGATGGCCTTCGAACCCTGTGCATTGCTAAGAAGGTGAGGATAAATACCTACAGGCATACTACAGATGTCCACAATGGTTGAATGGCCTTCACCCCATCGTGTGGTGTGTGTGTGTGTGTGTGTGTGTGTGTGTGTGTGTGTGTGTGTGTGTGTGTGTGTGTGCACGCAGGCCAGAGGTCAACATCAGGTTTCCTCAATCACTCTCTACCTTGTTTGTTTGTTTGTTTTTGTTTTTATTATTTTTTGAGACATAGTCTCTCACTGAATGGCCAGAAAGATCCAGAAATCCTCTGTCTCTGCCTCCCCAGAGCAGGGATTCCAAGCAGGTCCTCATGCTTGTGTGGCAAGCACTTTACTGACAGAGCCATCTCCCCAGTTGTTATTTTTGTTTTGTTTTGTTTTGTTTCTTTACACAAGACCACTGGTTTGTTTTGTTACTAGTTTCAAGATTATTCTTTGATCTTGGCTATTGACTCTGGAACTATGCAAAGCACTCTGCCACTAGGCAAATCTCCAGCCTTTGCATGGTGTTGGTGTCAGCATTCTTAATAACTTTTTGAAACAGGCTCTTACTGAATTGCCTAGGCAAGCCTTGAACTTGTGTTGTCCTGCCTCATCATCCTAAATCACTGGGATTATGGTTCTGCATCACTCTTGGCTATATTTAGCTATTCTGACTCATGTCCAAAAATCTACGATTGGGACAGTTTTTCTGAAGTAGAAATCCAAACAGAAAACTTCATATCTGTGGCTTTAACCATTCTTAATTTTCATTGTATGTATGAGGGATTACAGGCAACTCATAAAATTATTTGTTATTTGTATACTTATTCTTTGAAATTTTCCTACATGCACTGAGTATATATTGATCACATCCACCCATGTATAAATATAATTCTGTCTTCAAAGTAACCTTTACATTTTTTATTTATCTGAACTGAAATTTGGAAAGGTTTGTTTTGTCTTTGTGAGTGCGTGTGCACATTTGTGTCTCGTGAGAAAAAGCTAGCTTTCTGGTTTCTCTTGAGAATCTGAGTCTTCAGTGAATGTCACTAATCAGTATAACTATGTAGCAGCTGATGCCCATGATGTGGGCCATGGTGACATATTTGGCTGTCTTCTGTTCTTGCCTACAATCCCCATCACTAGCTATTGTTTTACCCTTGCCTCAGATGTGGCCGTACAGATCACCCACCTCTTGCTTTCAGATACTTGATTGATTTTTAGACCATACAAAACAGGGGGCTTTGAACTACAGAGCAAGGTCATCTGATGAGGTATGTAATATCTAGTAGGAATGCCGTGATGCTTGTGTATTTCAAGGTGGCTAGAAGTCGTTTCTCCTCTTCACCCTCCCAGGGCTGCTCATACGTTTCATGTTGCTGCGAACAACATAGAGATTAAATGTGCTCACTTTAAAACCAGACCTATCTGGGTGCCTATCTCACCACCTTTTGATATATCTTTAGGACAGCAAAAAAGCTTATAATATTCCCTCGGTCCTGTAGTTATACCCTTACCACTGTCTGTTTTCCATAAGTCTGTATCCTTTTTGTCTTCTGTTATAGACTGTACATTTCTCAAATGCCAAAGACCTCCTGTGATCAGGCTTGATGGTGCATGCCTTTAATTCTAGCACCAGGAGACAGAAGCAGGTAGACCTCTGTGAATTCCAAGCCAGCTCAAGCTACATCATGAGATCCTGTCTCAAAACAAGACCTGTGTTCCTTGACTTTTTTCTATAGTGCCATACAGAGAGACTCGTGAATATCTGGTGCTTGTATAAAAGAAATGTTCATTTATAAAAGAGAATGCAGACATATAGACATAGTGGTTCATGAGTGCTATGAGAGAAAGACACAGCATCTCTGTATGTTTGACAGCATGCCTGGTGGAGTGTTCTACAGACTGTGGAAAATGAGGCCACTGTTTTCCTTTCCAATCTCATGTCTGACCCTTCTGTTTTGCTTTCCACCTCCATCAGATGATGAATTAATGGATCAGGAATGGGGTCAACTTCATTGCTCTTTCATAGCTTTTGCACTTGTTCCTCCTCATAACTCATAGGATCAAGTCCTTTTAAAATATTTTATTAATTTCTTGAGAATTTAATGTATTTCAATCATATTTACACACCCCTCCCAACTCATAACCTTAACTTCTCCAGGAACTATCCTATCCCCATAATGTTACACTGTCCACATTCTGGGTATAAGGCTATCTACCACTGCATGGACTCCTTGAGTCTTACCTTCATGTGATAAAGACCTTACTTCATCCATGTGCTCTGTGTTGCTGCAACACAGAGCAACAACCCCAACAGACTCTATAGTGCCATCCTTCTTGTTATCTGCACAGTACTCCTTGAAATGATCCATTCATTTTAATCACTTACCTGACTAAAACATCTCACCCTCCACCACCAGGGGCATCCTGAGACCTTGCTTTTGTTTTCCTCTCCAGAGCCCTGAGCACAGTAGGGACTCAGCAGATGTTTGGTGACCTTGGAACATTAAGAGTAATCTTTATCAATTTATGCAGTCACAACATCACTATGGAGAACTCTGCACCCAATTCTGTGCAGTCCAACCAGACATGGCCCAGCACATCAGGAAGAAGGACTCCATTTACTTATCCACTCAAGGTTACTAATAATTCTCTTCCTTTTTGCATAGGTTGTAAATGAAGAGGACTTCCAGAGGTGGGCCAGTTTCCGGCGTGAGGCTGAGGCATCCCTGGACAACCGAGAGGAGCTTCTGATGGAGACAGCCCAGCACTTGGAGAATCATCTCACATTACTTGGTAGCTGGAAATAAAACATCTTCCATTTAAAAAAGAGGAAGGTAGGGAGGGAGGGAGGAAAGAGAGAGAGAGAGAGAGAAAAGAAAGGAAGGAAGGAAGGAAGGAAGAAAAGGAAAGGAAGAAAGAAAGAAAAGGGAATGCTTTACGTTAGGAAAGGAGCTCTTGGCCAGGATTCTGATGTCACTACAATTTTGTCTCAATGAGGAGTCTTCCCTGGGTGGTTCCAGATATTTGGCATAATTGGGCTATGCCAGCAGCCAGGCAGGCTTCCTGGGGATGTTCTGAGAGCATCCCTGAATTTCATGCTGGAAGAAGCCTATAAGTTTGGCTTCTTCCTCATCAACAAACTCCTTTGTCCATTTGAATATCTGTTGTGTGCCTACTATGTGCACACATGCAAGGCTTTGCAGCTACATCAAGAAATGCAAACTATAGCCTCCACCTTCTCATGGCTCAGAATCTAGCTGGATGATTAAGCAAGTCATTTCATCACTCAGAAAGTGGTAAGATCTGGGCCAAAGGATGTAGAGGTAGAAGATAAATGCAAAATAGGATGATTCAGACCAAAGAGCTTCTGGGAAGGCCACTAATTGAAAACAAAAATGATAAGCTATTCAAAAAGGGGGGGAGGTTTATAACAGCAGCAAATGAGGTCTGAGAAGAGGTAGAAACAATAAGATCTGCTTTAGCTGGACCACAGACTATAGAGGAGAACTGACAGGAGGTGAGAGGAACCCAATTTATGATATGCCATGTAAATCATATGCTAAACATTTATGGGTTACTTTAGTAAAATCACCAGGGCTACTGCTATATAAAAGATAGACTGAGAAGCCAGCAGCAAGATGAGAAGTACTGAGGCTGTTTAAGAGATGGGCAGGATGTGTTTAGGAAGAATAACATTGCAAGCTGAAAAATGGAAGCTTGACTTAGGAAGATGAATCTCCTGCCTGGGGAAAGATGCCCATGTCTTTAATCACTCTGAGGCCTCTAGGATGGAAGGAGTTTATGTATAGAGGATCTTTCCCAACCCCATCCAGAATGACACACAAGAAGGAATCAGGAGTGTGCACTGACCACTTGAGCGAAAGCCATCTTTCATTGCTGTAAGATGGTGAGGCCTTTACATCTAAAGAATAGCACCAAGATTAGTTGGAGATCCTTCAAAAATAAGAAGAAATTTTTACTCTCTAGCACCTTCAAGCCTCTTCTCCTTTGTCTTATCTGAAGAGGTCTGTGCATGCTGCCTCATAAGCCCTGACACTTCTAAAGCTGGACACAGGAATTGTTTTCACAAGAACCAGAAGGTGGCTAGTCCTGAATATTCTACCTGCGTACAAGGCCACAAGCAGTCACCCCCATCTGGGGTTCACGCCACTCTCTCACATCCTTGGACACATCTTTAGCTTCAGGGTAACAAGTCTCAGGTGCAGAAAATATTCATCAGCTGCATTTGGCAAGGAACTCATGTGTCGGAGCCAGTCAGCTTCCCTGTCTGGGAGAGGTGTCCACGGCCTTCCTGTTTCATTTTCCCTTTCACACAAATAAATGTGTTTCCTTCTCCCTCCTTCATGCAGCCTCTCTGTACTATAAATCGACTTCAGCAGTTCACCTTGCAGGCTAAACTCACAGAAGATGATATTTCAGCTATCACTGTCCATAGAGTTGTTTACCTTGGTATTTGTACCTGAAATATAAAACAGGCACATTTGAAGAGAGATAGGTTCCTTTTCTCACCTCAAGGTGTCTGGGAAATGTGACTTGGTAGCAGATTTCCTGTGACCACCAAAAATGTGGCATGGCCTTCACCCTAAGTCTCAAAATATCAGTTGATTTTTCAGTATGCAACCAATGGAACTGCTCTGCCAACTTTTAACCACTCTTGATGTTCAAAGAAACAAAGCCTTTGCTTCCACTCTAAGTGAAATTGTTAACCCTTAGTCTATGGCCTGAAATGAACCTCATTTTAAATGCTTAAGCTTTGCTTAAGCACATAGCAACTATTTAATATCTGGGTATGGATTCGTCAAGGTTGAGGCAAAGCTTGAGATCAGCCACAAATAATGGCACCTGCGTGTCTAATTCTCTCCAAGTGGTAATAAATAAATAAAACTGAGTCCCTATTATATCTCCTGTGATCAGCTGCCTTGCATCTTCTACACCCATCACCTTGTTTTGCTACAGGTCACCACCAGTCTCCTCTGCACTCCTGCTCAGCCCCTAAGAGCCTCTCATTCAGCCTCTCCCATCTCCATTCCAATCTCTAGAATGATCCAAAAATGCAAACTTGATCATACCCATCCCTCCTCAGCTTACACCCTTCAACAGCTTTCTTTGCTACAAGAGAAATCATTATCTATCAAGGCCCTGATATGACCCAGAAACCTTGTCCCTCCCTCTCATACTCTTCTGCCTCCTGTCTAGCCATCTACTCTTAGACTCTAGGCTGTCAAACATGCAGATCCTTCTGTCTTCATCTCTGTGATTGATCTTCCAGGACTGAACCAAAAATGGTCTTCTAGCAACACAATCTTCCTTGACTTTCAAGGTGAAGCTCAGTGTTCACTCACATAGTACTCTGACCTTACCATGTAGCTCAATTACAAACCTTCATCTAATGACTTGAGTTCTGGACAGGTACCAATTGTCCTAATTAGGGTTATTATTGCTGTGGTGAAACACCATGACCAAAAACAAGTTGGGGAAGAGTAGGTTTATTTGGCTTATGTTTCCACATCACTTTTCATCACTGAGGGAAGTCAAGACAGTAATTCAAACAGAGCAGGAGCCTGGATGCAGGAGCTTATGCAGAGACCAGGGGGGTTAGCTGCTTACTGGCTTGTTTTCCATTGCTTGCTCAACCTACTTTCTTATAGAACCCAAGAACATCTTCCTAGAGGCATCCCCATCCATAATAAGCTGGGCTGAGCCCTCCCACATTAAACACTGATTGATTAATATGCAAAAAAAGAAAGAAAATGCCATACAGGCCTACCTATAGTCTAATCTCACAGAAGCCTTTTCTCAATTAGGGGGTCCCATCTCTCAAATGACTTTAGACTGTGTCAGGTTGACCTAAAATTAGCCAGCACACAGATCATCTTCACCTGGTTCATGGCTGTATCCTGGGTATTCAGACTAATGTATAGCAGATATTTGGTAAGCACTGTATGGCTATGTAGTGCTTTGAGAAAGTAAACAGCCACACATTTGCCATAACTGAGTTCCCACATCTTTGAATATTCCAGGAGCCACTGGCATTGAGGATCGACTCCAAGAAGGAGTTCCAGACACCATCGCTGCACTTCGGGAGGCTGGAATCCAGCTTTGGGTTTTGACAGGAGATAAACAGGAGACAGCTGTCAATATTGCATATTCCTGCAAACTGCTGGATCAGACTGACACCGTGTACTCCATCAACACAGAGAACCAGGTGAGGCCAAAGAGGAATTGAATGTTGATAAATGCAGCAGTCTCTCAGCCAACAATCTAGATCTTGGATCTTAGGGGATCCAAGGAAGGATCTAGAAGACATTCAGTCCAGGATCTGATAATCCATCCACACACTTAGTTAACTGGTTTACTTATCAGAAACTTGAGTCACCCAATGAAAGCCATCAGGGCTCAGTTTCTTGCCCAACAACTTCACTTGCTTGACTGTCCAAACACCAAATCTAGAATTCTGCTCTCTTGATAGACTAGTAGAGTCACATATGCCACACCATTGACTCAATTGTCAGTGTCTTGCCTGTTAAGATTAGCCCATCTATTGAAAAGTCCCACTTAAACTGAATTGATTCAGAGTTTAAATTTTCAATACCAGTTTTTATGTCATGGAGCAGAACCCTAAGGGAATAATACGTTCAGCTAATATATTTTGTCAGGATGGGAGGAGGAGGAGAGAGAGGAACAAAGTCCTAAAACAGTAGTGTCCACCCTGAGTAGGTTGTGGTTTGCAAGAGTAAGGACTGGGAGAGTGCCCTATGAAATCTAACAGTCTTCCTCCCTATTGTGCATGTTTGTATTAGGAAAGCATCTTCCCTTTTCCTAGTGCAAATACAGAAAGTGAGGGGAGGAGCATGGAGAGTGAGTGCTGAGATGTCACCTGTGTCAGAGGGAGCAGAGAGTAGGCCAGTGGAGAAAAAAAGATCACTGTACCTGAGGGGTGGTAAGGAACCTGGCAACCTAGGCTAGCCCATAGGGAAGTGTGAGTGGGAAGCCACCAGAGAGGGAGAGGGGATTCAGGCCTCTCACTAGCTGTGCTAGACCCCAGAATAGAACTTTGGGAAGATTTACATTTGGTTTTTATATGAGTGTATATATATATATATATATGTATATATATTCACACCTGTCTACATTGCAGGACCCACTAATCCTATAAGATAAGTCTTCCTCAGCCTTTTCCCTGGGAGCAAGTAGTAGATACATAAACATGTTAAAGCAGAAAATGGGAATATACACTCTAAACTAGGGCTTAAATAAATCTTGAAATTTAATGTAATTACCTTTTCAGTGAATATTTTCTCCAAGGGTTTTAATTTGCTTAACTAACTATAAACACATTTAAGTCTGGTATTTTTTATATGGAAAAACAATTAAAGCCATAAACTAGTTTTATGGGGTCTGCCCAAACATATATATATATATATATATATATGTATATATATATATACATACATATATATATATATATATATGACTTGAAACACATTTCAAAAGAAACTAATAATAGCAATCATTGATACTGTTATTATTGACCACCTCTTTAAAGCTTCATTCATATGCTTCAGATATCATCTGGACAGACTGCTGGACTGATTAAATAAGATCAGAGGGGATGTACTTTCTTAGTCCCTACATTTGTTAGCTATTGCTGTATGACAAATTATCCCCAGAGCTTAGCAGCTGGAACAGATACTTATGATCCCATGGTCTATGAGGTAGAAACCTAGGAATTGGAGCTGGGGCCTGAGGATGAAGGTCTCAGGAAGGTTACAGACCCACTTTCCAGGGATCTGAGGTCAGATGTTGATTCAAACTTGGAAGTGTTTACAGGTAGGAAGGAAATCTACTTGCAAGCTGACTCCACAGCTGTTACTAGATCTCAGCGCACAGTCTTTCTTACATAAATGCTCTAGTAAAACCTTACACCCAGAAACAGTTCTTGCTGCCCCTCCAGGCTCCGTGCACATCCTACAGTGCACAACAAGTAATTTAGCATCTCCTAGAGGAGAACTTGGGAAAATGAGCTGAACCTATTTCAAGAATCACTCCAGTGATTGTTAGGCAGGAAATCACTAGGTAGAGTTCTCCAAATCTGTCACTTCAAAGGCATTTTTGAAAATCTACCCAAATCTATCTATTACTTCAACTATTTCTCTTAATTATTTCATTTAAATTAACTTGTTTGAATGATATTTACGTTTAAAATAGATTTTTAGGATTTTGACTAAGGAAGCATTGGTAAAAGAACCTGATAGATCTCAGTGGATGGCTCAATGAATAAAAGTACTTGTGGTTCAAGCATAGGCTCAGAGTTCATGTCCCTATCACCCACATGTCAAGTTGGACATTGTGCCTGCCTCTAATCCCAGCACTTAGCAGGCTGAGAAAGGGAATGCCCAGGGCAAGCTGGCTCAATAGAACAGCCAAATGGACTGTTTTAGCAAGAAACTCTGCCTCAGTGAAGTGGAGCAGGATCAAGGTAAGCACCCAACATCCATCTTTGACCTTCACATGCACACACGTGCGCATGCATGCACACACACTTACCCATTCACCAAACATGTATCCAAACTTCCATATACAAACACTTGCAAATTTCTGAGTACAACATGCTTTGAAGTTATTTATCCTATTATCTTTGGTTTCCTCAAGTTTTGTTAAAAAGTGATGTTTATAAGAGTTGAAGAGATATCAGAAGAATAATTAGAACCAAGATATGATTTTATCACAGATATAATTCCAAGTGGTAGAAAAGGACTGTTAATTAAAAATGACTTCCTCTCTATATTTCAAAGTAAGCATCATTTGAAAAACCATAAGACTCCCATGAAAGTAGTACATCTTTAATCACAATACTTTAAAGAAGGAAGCAGTAGGATCATACATTCAAGGCCAACCTGGGCTGAATCAAAAGACCATCTCAAAGAAACAGAAATAAAATCTAACAGAGAATATTCGTTGAATCAGTAAGAACTTCATATCCATGGTCAGTTCAGACCAACATGAAAAATACTTCACAGCACATTTCTAAAGATCTCTGTGGAATAGACCAATAGATAAACACAGGTTGTTTGATTTTTAAGTTAGGAAGCCACATTTGAAGAAGTCGAGATCATTCACTCCTCACTATGTTAAGCTGACATTGAATAAGTTACTAAGTTACTCATCATTTCGATCTCCTCATCTCTACATCTTGACCAGGAGCACAAAAAACGTCAAAAGGAGCAACAGGGAACAGGGGAGGCTTATAAGAGACTGAAACCAGCTTATCTAGCAGTATGAAATATTGTCAGTATTTAGCAACATATTAGTGTTGATTTTTACTTTACACCCACCTCAACTCAGTTGCCATCTTGCTGTGCAACTTTTACTTTATTCCTAATCACCCTTTCCTATCTGGCCATTAATTTGTTTCAAAATTAGTATATTTTATATCCTGGTTCACATATTGGAGAGAAATGTACAGTGAACTTAGGGGAAAATTCCTAACAACTAAATAATCTATATGGTGGAGTTTTATAATTATCTTACTAAAAATAAGGATAAATCCTTAACATACAAAGTTGCTTACTAATACTATTATATGACTTTCTGCAGGAAACCTGTGAGTCCATCCTCAACTGTGCATTGGAAGATGTAAAGAGGTTTCATGAACCACAAGAGGCAGCCCAAAAACTCTGTGGGTGCCACATACCATCTAAGATGCCATCTGCTATGGCTCCTACAGTTGGACTTGTCATTGATGGGAAGACATTGAATGCAGTTTTCCAGGGAAAGCTGGAAAAAAAGTTCCTGGAGTTGACTCAGTACTGTCGGTCTGTCCTGTGTTGTCGCTCCACCCCACTCCAGAAGAGTATGATTGTCAAGCTGGTGCGAGACAAATTGAGCGTCATGACTCTTTCCATAGGTACCCATCATGCTGGGATGTGGGTGGCATCTTGGCAGGGATGATGATCTGGGTCATCTATGACAACCAACATGCTTTTAGGCTGAGGGTCATTGTCTTTGATAATTGCTTGAATGTGATGGGCCCTGTGTCATCACCTAACAGCCACATCTCGACTGTGATTTTTATCAAAGGTCTTAGAACTGGCCAGTTAGCTAAGTAAACGCCAGATCTTATATGGAGGTCACTGTAAACAAGGGACTTGAACTCAAAACATGAATGTAGTTTTAAAAATGTTTCCACCAGAAATAGACAACCAAGACACTACCACTAGAAGATTCCATCCTACTGGAAATAACTACCCTTCCAGAATTAATTTACCCATGGCATTACCTATGGTAGCTATGAATTTGGAATTCTTCTGAGGATAGGAGACTGGTAGGGAGATTTCAAAACCTTATAATTTTTAATTTTTAATTAATAACTTTTAATTTTGTGTGCTAGTCTATAAATCTCAGGTCAGCACAAAGCATATTCTTAATCTGTTCTGGTTGGTTGATGATAAATTACTCAGATGGGTATGAAATGATCAGGTCAAAGCACAGAAATAAGAACGTCTCACTGAGTGCCTCATAGACACAACAAGCCTGGTTTACAAGAATCTTCATGATCTGGTCTTTACTAACTCTCCGACAGTGTCTCTTATATCATGACCACCTTTCATTCCTCATCACTAGGATCTTCCTGTTCCCTCCAAATTAAATTACTTGCCACTCTCCTAACCCCCTACTCATCTTGCCCATTTCTGGGATTCCCATTTTCCATTTAGGTCCAAGATCTGTTGTTCTGTGACCACCTCTGCAATAGTTCACAAATTCCTGTACTTACAGGGATGGGATGGGGTCTGTTTCAGTCACTATTTAATCTCATGATCAGCACACTCTCTACATGTAGTAAATACAGTCACTCCCTCCTCATACCTCAGCCCACATACACCGTGTCCAGGTCTCACTTTCTTTAATTTTTGTTACCTTTGAGTCTAAGAGTAACTATTGACATGAACATTCGTGAGTTTAATAACTATTATGGTATATTTGTTTTAACCTTTTATTGGGCATATTAAATTTTATTGTCAAAAGTCTATCTATAGAGTCTAGCATTGGCAGTCTTCACAGACAAGGGTAACTTAATTACTCTACTCTGGGTCATTTCTATAGATGGTTCTAGCCTCTCTTCTTTCTCTGGTATTCTGGAGATCTGGCAAATATTATGTCATTCCCTCAGTCTGCATGTGCAATACAAAAACTGAATTTAAAAACTAGAGGACCAGCCACAGTGGTACATGTCTATAATCCCAGCACTTGGGATGAGTGGCAGAAAGACCCAAAATTCAAGTCATTCTCACCTTCACAGAGAGCTCTAGGCCAACCTGGGATATAGAAGATGATACTTCAGAAAATTTATGGAACAGATACCTAGCAACTACATCCCTATTCCAGTACTGTGAATTGGCCTCTTCTGTAATTCAGATACACAATAGGCAATAGCCCAGCACATAGTCCCTGGGGTTAGATATTAGCCTAACAGAAACAAGCCCAACCAGGTGAGAACTAGCACAATTCCATAGCTCTGCTTCTCCTGGTGTGCCAATAGAAGGAATGAAAGCTTAGATTTATTCTGCCTTCGAAAGGAGTAAAAGTGTGAACTGCTATGCTATTGAAAAAAAGATTCATTATTATAATAACAAAGTCTACCTAGACAAGCAAATACTAGATGTTTAATTGACACATAATTGTATAAATTTACAGGGTGAAGTATTAATGATAACATTTTAAAGCTCAATATACTTATTGCCAAATAATTAAGGAAAAATTATTTCTCTCTCCTCATCAATTCCATAGTTTCTGTGATGAACAACATAAAACATAATTATGGCTTATATATGAGAAGTTTATAGGGGAAAAAGTAGGACCAGAAAGAGAATATAGTCAACATGATCTATAACGGATATTTCCAAAATATAACCTACAGGCTGTGTCCAGCCTATTACATATTTTTGTATGAAAGCTAATTACGACTTTTTAAATGTAAAGTTTATAACTACCAGCATTTAAGCCAACAATGATTTGACTTTGCTTTGTGGCTTATGAAGTCTAAAATATTTATTGGATCCTTTAGAGGTTAGTTTACTGAGCTCTGGCTTAAAAGATAAAGCATTGAGGAGAATTGGGCTCTGTAAGATGTCCTTGCTGTAAAGAGCTTCTTACTTAAATAGAACTTCACCAGCCACATTTCAAAAGACATAAGATGGCAGCAGTTTCTACACTAAATCTTGTAGATACACAGTTTTTACTTCACCAGAGGAGAGTATATTTGATAGTTCTTAGAGCATGTGGGGTGGGTGGGTGTGGGTGTGTGTGCAGGAGCATGTATGCGTGCTAACAAGTATTTTCAGGACCTTACCTCCAGTTTCATGACATCTCAATTCAGTCAATGTGATGGATATATTTCAGCCAAAATCTCTTCTCTATCATTCATACAGAAAACTGAATGTCATCCATCCCTTTAGGCATTACACACAGTCTCTGATGATCTGGCTGACCCAGCACTCTAGTCATCTTGATATGGTGATGAGTTCCAGTCAAATTAAGGTAGAGAAGGCTCCTAGGAAAGTTATAATTACCTGTTTATCATCATGATAAAATATCTGACCTGACCAGCGTCAAGTGAGGATCTGTTTATTCAGGTCATGGTTTAGGCAGTTTCAGTCCATTTCTAGATACACTGAATTCTCCTGAAGTGGGAGGCAGAATATCATGGTGGATTAGCTAAGAATGTGACTTCCAGTAGAGTCTCACTTAGCATTTCTTCTAGCTCTATTGCACACACAAAAATTCATGTTGGTAGAATGATGGAAGAGAAGTGTTACCTCATGATGATCTAAAGCTAAGAGAGTCAAGAAGGAGCCTGGGAGAAGATACCTTTAATGAATGATTGTTGGATAAATAGACAGAAACAAGGGGCCAAGTGGATTGCTGGCCTTCCTCACTTGCCCTTCTTGGATTCTGGTAATACTTCATTCAGCTTCTAAGAAGAGACAGAGAGATGTCAGAAGCAAAAGAGTCATGCATGTGTGACTACATGACAAGGGATCATTCAGGCTCTGAATGCTACAGACCTAGAATAAAGCATCTTTGGGGACAGTGACAGTTGTGCACGAACACTGATGCCTCTGCTCTTCCTTCCCAGGCTGTCATGTCCAGTGATTTTGTCATTGCTTGACTCAGCCACCTCAAGTCACCTACTTCCTTTAGCCAGACCCTACCACCTGCCAGCTCCCAAGAATGCCATCAAGTTATAAATCCAGGAATGGAGTACTCCATGATAAACTTAGACCTCATGACCAAATCAATTCTCAGTGCGTGGACCCACTAGCTGAGGACCAAGCCTTGAACACAGGACTTTGATTTGACATGTTCCCTAAAAGGCTTCTAACAACTACAGACTCAGAACAGAAAGACCTGAGTTCTGTACTTATGAGGGCCTTCATCAGATGACTACCCAGACTAAGTCTCAAAATGGGTCAGAGTCTTGATTTGCTCTTTGGCAAAATCTATACTGACGTTTGCAAAGGCCTTTCTGTAAATTGTAAAGGACCACTCATGACTCTCTCTGATCACCATTGGAGGGTGGGACAATAAAAATATTCATTGAAAGATTTAAAATAAAGTGGAATTTCTCATCCATAGTTTTCTTTTTTTTTTTTTTTAAGAAAAAAAAAAAGAGGCAACTTTCAGGCCACATACTGTAGCAGTGATATCCTATTTAGAGAAACATAGAAAAAAAATCCAACTGTGCAATTGGGGACAATAAGATTTCTCATCACTGAGCAGTTGGACAAGGAATAAAGGCTCTCTGTGACCTCGCTCTTTTCAGGTGATGGAGCAAATGATGTGAGCATGATTCAAGCTGCTGACATTGGCATTGGGATATCTGGGCAGGAAGGCATGCAGGTAATGTGCATTTTAATTCTGTTTTCTCTGTTGTTCTCCTTTATCCTTCCTGGGGATTTGAGGACCATCCCACAGTGCAGGAGAAACCTTCCTTTGAATGTCATAGATTATTAGCTGTCAGCTAGGAGGGGTCTCCCATGCTTCTGTGTCCTCTCATCAAAATCCTACCATCCAATCCTCCAAAAAACAGAGGAGCACTAAGGGATGTGTGGCTTTTTATAAAAGGCATTGATCTCTATAGTCTAAGGCTGCACAGCATAGAAGCCTCTCTCTGACTCCACATGTCCTTCTTGTGACCTCCATATGATTGGCAAACATAGGAACATTTGAAAATACTTTATTGCTTCATAAATTAATTGGTACCATTTCAGGGTGTACCTAATTCTCTAAAACTTTGATTTGGAACAAGCATTCTTAACTGAAATACTGTTCTTTTCAACTAAAACTGGTCATGCCTTGAGGAAGATACTGCCTAAATTTATAGCTGAGAATCAGAAAGGCAGCCATAGTTCTGTTACCCTGTATGTGTTTACCATATGCCAACAATGTTAGGTACTTTATATTTATGTCTTACCACATAGAGTTTTAATAATACATATTCTAGATCATTTTTTTCAAATAGCAAAACTGAGGTTCAAGGAGTTGAAGTAATCTGCAAAGTTATTTATACCAAGATTTCTAACCAATACATCTATACCTCATTTTCTTATGAAACCTCTGAACTAAATCTTATTACAAATAACCCCAAGGACAAAATGCCCATCTTAGCATCATCTTAGAAACCAACAGTGTCATCTGTAAACTTGTAAAGTATGCCAATAGTCTGTTTGAGAGGTACCCAAGAGTGCTCAGGGGCTTGTGAATCACTGGGTGGAAATCAGGTCTCTGGTTCAACCCTAGAACAGATACTGACTCTTGGCCTTAATGAATGATTGTTGGATAAATAGACAGGAACAGGGGGCCAAGTGGATTGCTGGCCTTCCTCACTTGCCCTTCTTGGATTCTGGTAATACTTCATTCAGCTTCTAAGAAGAGACAGAGAGATGTCAGAAGCAAAAGAGTCATGCATGTGTGACTACATGACAAGGGATCATTCAGGCTCTGAATGCTACAGACCTAGAATAAAGCATCTTTGGGGACAGTGACAGTTGTGCACGAACACTGATGTCTCTGCTCTTCCTTCCCAGGCTGTCATGTCCAGTGACTTTGCCATTGCCCGATTCAGCCACCTCAAGAAGCTGCTGCTTGTGCATGGCCACTGGTGTTACTCTCGACTGGCCAGGATGGTAGTATACTACTTCTACAAGAATGTGGTGAGTGTCCCCAATGTAACCTCCCCCTCAGGCCTTGTAGGCCTTGTAAGAGCTCTATCTCCTCAGAATAGTAGAGCAAGAATTTAGGCACAAGGGAGTTAGTCCACTGACCTGGATTTGGGATCTCACTATCTGTGTAACTTTGGGCAACATTGTTCATTTCTCCATAGGCCATAGTTTCCTCTACAATTTTAAAACAGGAAGGGGGCTGTTATTGCTTGCTGCGATATTGTCATGATAATTGTGCTGTGTACACTAAATAAAAGTTGGTTTCTCTCCTGATAAGGGCCCAAAGAAACTACTCACAGGCAGAGCTATTAAAGCTACCAAAGGGTTTTGTTTTACAAGTCCAAGAATAATAGTGAGTATAGCAGTAAGATATAAAAGCATTGCTGGACTGAGAGATGGAACAAGGGATTGAGTTTCCATCACCTAATTCAAGGATATTTTATGCAAATAGAATTTGATTCCTTTTTGCATGAGGAAAATGGACAGTTAACACTGGGATGGTGGAGGCCAGGCAGTGGTAGCACATGCTTTAATCCCAGCACTCAGGAAGCAGAGGCAGGCAGATCTCTGTGAGTTCGAAGCCAGCCTGGTCTTCAAAGAGAATTCCAGGTCAGGCTCCAAACCTACAGAGAAACCCTGTCTCAAAAAAAAAAAACCCCACTGGGATAGTGAAAGACACATACAGTAGCCTAAAAAATTAAATAATTTTTCTTTTCCTCCATTGTTTTACACTCTGACACTCTGACATAGTCATCTGTGTTCAGGAGTGAACTTCTCTGTCCAAAGTTCACTGCATACACATTTGTAAAAGAACAGCACAACAAAAATAGCATAAATGCAACCAACTGGACAATGATATTGTCTATGCAAGCAAGTCACTCCGACTGACTTGAAATTCATTCTGAACATGAAAGACTTAGAATTCAAAATACCCTGTTTCATTTTTTTTTTCTTTTGCATCCAAGGAATCATTCTTTTGAATCAGCACAGCCTCTTCTCTGCATTAAATTTGTGAAACAGAAAGGAAACATCTCCAGCCAGCCACACTCTCAAAGCTCAAGTGATATTTATTTCTAGCCTGTTGCCAAGCTCAAAACTGCAATACTGACGCGGTATTATCTCCCAGCTGCAATTAGAGGGTGGGGAACTATGACTTCCACATCCGAAACCAATTCCACAGGGATTAAAACCCTGCCTGCTCTGAAATTTGAACAATGAATTAATTACTGTACTGGAGCATCTAGGGAGGAGTAGCAGGCACCCGATCTGAGCCACATTGTCAAGGGGTTCAGTGTGCTCCCTGAGAGCTGCAAAGACTGAATCTAGAAAGGGGAAGTAGAAACCAGCCTCTGGGAGAAGGGTACACTCTGTGATGTTAAATGAGTTGTCAGGACAAAACAAAGAGACATGTCATCTATTCACATAAGTACTGGATGTCTGCTATGTGCTATGCAACGTATTAGTCCCTGGGCATAGCGTAGGGACTGAAGCAGGGAGGATATTTCCTTGCCCTCAGGAGATGTTTTGTCCATATTGGGACAAGTTTCTTCCAGTAAGGGCCAGGCAACACATACTCTCTGGATTGTTAGCCCTGGATGTCTGTCTCAATGAATCATACTATGAAACCCAAAGATAGAACCAGGAAAGGGCCAGAGAAAGAACATTGGAACTTCAGGTACTTGTTGCTAGTTCTCAACTAGAGTAAAGTGAAGCTGAGTATCTTGGAGTTATAACTGTCATTGCTATATAGTATTGGTACTTATTTTTTATTATTTAATATTATTTTTCTCATTTTACATATCAATCCCAGTTCCCTCTCCCTCCCATCCCCCATCTACTCCCCAGAGTCTTCCATGAGGGATCATCAAAATTTGTCAAGTCACTTGGGGTAGAGCCTAGGCCCTTCTGAGTTATAAACCCATCAGGATGGTATGTGGAAACCCTCATGAGGTCACCTTCCCATTAGGTTTCCAGCTCTTGAACTAACTTTTATGATTTTTTTTTCAGTTTGAATCCATAGTAATATGTTTCAATAATGATCTCTCCATACAGTGCCATTACATATTGTTCTCATTCATTCAGCCCCCCATTCCATCCCAATATCCTCTTCTACCCCCCTAATTGGTCCCCTTTGTTCTGTCCCCCCCCTCCTTTCTTATTACATGTATGGTATTATCCTATGTCCCACCCCTTTTTAAATACTTCTAATTTTGAAGTCTACTTTCTCATTTATTACAATAGTTATATAACTTGGTTTTGGTTTCTATTCACTTAATAGTTTTCCATTCTTTGAGACTCGGCCTATAGGTAGGTGTCTTTCTAGTGAAACAAGAGTCTACATTTGATCAGATTTTCCTAATCCAGTCAGCCCAGCTTTATATCTTTATTGGTGAATTGAAGCTATTTATATTTAAGATTGTTATCGACAGATAAGAATTCCTATCATCTTGTTGCTTGTTTTTCTGGGTGGTTGTGTTATATGTTCTTTACATTCATGCTAGTTTCATGGGGTTATGGTTTACCATGTTAGACATGGTGGATCCTTCCTAAGTCTCTTTTTTCACCCTTTGTTTCATGAAGTTTATTTCCTGTGCTTTTGAGATTGAGACTGTCTTCCATTATCTTCTGTCATGCTGACTTGGTGGTCAAGAACTGTTTTAGAAAATGCTTTTTTCTACTTTTTATTTTATTTAAAAGAAAATTACACCATTTCCTCCCTTCACATTACCCCTTATAAATATAACTTGCTGCATCCATTTAGTGTTGCTTTCATGAATATTATTTCAAGGTTGACCACTTTGAATTAGATAACCAGTTACAGGGCTCATACCTGAGGAAGGCAAATTCGTCCTCTTTCAGTCATTAGTTGCCTATAGCTTTTACATAGGGCTGAGTCCCAATGAGATTTCCTTCTTCCACTATGTCTGTTGATGTTCTCATTGTTCAGATCTTGTTTATGTAGCTATATTTGGGGGATATTGTCCATAAAACATCCCTACCATTTCTGTATCTCACAGTAGATTTCCTTGTCCTGTTCTTCTTATACTGTTCTTCTACAAAGGTTCCTGAGCCTTAGGTGCAAGAGTTGTATTATAAATTTATCTGATGTCTAAGCACCATGCTATCAGTTGTCCTCAGTGTTTTGAGCAGTTGATATTATCTGTGATGGACTCTGCTATAAAGAGACACTTCTTTGGTAAGGGCTGGGAGCTACACTTGTCTGTGAGTAAAAGAGAATTTAAAATGTAGTTAGGAATTATGTTGCTCTAGAAAAGTGGCAGTAGTTGGTTCTCCTCTAAGACCCATGATCTCACTATTCCCCAGATAGTTGGCTAGGTTTCCAGTACCAGGCATGATCCCTCCTATTGAGCAAGCCTTCAGTCCAATTTGAGATCTATTGGTTACCTCCAGGAGATAATTGTACCTTTAGAGTGTCTTGCAGGGCTAGTCATTGTTATGGCTCATAGGCATCTCAGCCAGGTAGAACTATCGCTTGCCCTGACACTTTAGCAACTTACATAGCACTGGCTAATACAATTAGAGTTAATCCTCAGAGAGCAGGCTTTCAGATCAGACCCAGCTTGAATCTTCTAAGTTGTATGCCCCAAGTACATGGCATCTTCAGCCAAAGAAATAGCAATAGCCTACTGTTTTGGGGAGTCTCTTGAATGGTCATGATCAAGTAGTCAAAAAGAGTTCCTCATACCTAGTGCTGGGACTTTTGTTAGATGGCCTATGGCTGATGTGGGATGCATTGTCAGCCTAAGTGATATAACCTCATTTAAAGTGTGTATATGCATGTGTAATTTTAGGTAAATATTAAGTGTTGAGGACCTTTGTTAAAAAATCTTTAGTGTTATTTGTTACTCTTTCCTTCTGGAGTTCCTTCTGCATTGACTTCCCTCCCACTTCCAAATTTACCCATTCATATCACTAGGATTTGCTAGTTCTCTCTTGAGCACCCTTGTCCCCCTTGTCCATTTTTACTTCCTGGCTTCCTGTAGTTACTCCGGTTACATATTCCCACCTAAAGATTTGAAGATAGGAACCACAGGTGAGAGAGAATATGTGACATTTGTCTTTTATTTCTGTCAAATTTTAAAGTGCTAGGTTTAAAGTGCTCTTGGTTGCCAGCCATGTACTCTCAGGGATTAAGACATCTCATTCCATGATTTCCTGGTTTTGAGGGTTTCTGATTGTGTTCCAGTGTTTCTGCCTCTGTGAGTTGTCATTTTTCTCTTAAAGCAGTTTCTGATAAGATTTTATTAAGAAGGTTTAGTTTATAATTGTGAGTGAGTGTGGGACTTCTGCATGAGAGAGCAGTACCTGCAGAGATCATAAAGACATCAGATTCCCATGGAGCTGGAGTTCACAGCCAGTTATGAGCTCGGAACTAAACTCCAGTCCTCTCAAAAGCAGTTCACACATCTTACCACTACTTTACCACTGAGCCCTTGCTCTAGCCCTCCCCTTACCACTTCAAATATTGTTATTGATTTGTATTTTTAACATGTGTACTATAATATGTCATATTCCTCTGGTCCTATCTATTTGGGATTCTAAATTCATATATCCTCTAGATTTGGAGATTTTTCTACTAAGTTTCCATTGACTAGGTTATCTATATCTTCCATTTATCTCAGTTCCTACTTCTGTCACACGTGTTTTTAAGTTCTGTACCTTGGCAATACTCTCACAGTTTAAAAAAAAATCATGGTTATACGCATTTGCAGGAGTCATCATATTTTCCCTCTATCCCTGACATTTCTTTCTTCTTGTCAGTTGAGTCATGAGGTGTTGTTTTCTATTAGGATCATTGAGTTTCACTTCCAATATGTCTTTATTTTTTCCTCCAAATCTTAATTCCTTGATGAATTTTCCTTCTGTGTTGTGACTTTTCTCTCTAGAGTCCCAGTTTAATTTAGCTGCCTGTTTGTATATGCTTTTAAAGTTTTTGAAACCTTTTTCCGGCATTTTATGGATTTGAGTGTCATTGAGTTCCATAGTTGAGGAATTGTGTTATTATAGAAGAGTCTTGTTGTGTTTGTTGGTGTTTGTTGAATTTCAGTCTAGGAATTTATGTATATTTCTTTGCGCTTGGATTGGAGAAGCCTTATATTGAGCTCTAAGTACTATTAAGCTAGAAGAAAATTAGTATAGCAGCAATAGCATCTTACCATGTAGGATCTATAAATCAGTTACAGCTCTAGGAATGGGGGTGTCTCTGACTCCTTAGTCTATTCTTGGGACCCTTTTCCTCCTACTGAGTTGCCTTGACCAGCCTTGGCATGAGAGTTTTGTGCCTAGTCTTATTGTAACTTGTTAGGTCATGTTCATTGGATAGCCTTGGGAAGCCTTTTCTTTTTTTGAAGGGAAATGGAGGCGTGGAGAGGTAGGGGAGAGACAGGAAAGTGTGGTAGGGATGTAGCCTATGAAAGAGGAATAAAAGAAAATGTCCATTATAGCCCATGTGTGACCACAGATTTGAAAATGAGAAATTACAGTAGCATAATCCATGGAGTTAAAAAATTATTCAGGGTAAATATGAAAATAGTAATGGATATGATAAAAGGAGGAGATGGAGGAAGAGAAGAGACAGGAGAAGCCTAGTTAATTTTATGGAAAAGGGAGGAATGGGGAGAATGTTATGAAAGAATGTCATAACTAGGAAAAGAGCAAGATTTATGAACCAAAATAAAATAACATTTGAAGTGTTTCCCCAATAGTGAAAAGGTTCAAAATTAGATCAGTGTACAGAAGAATGAAAAGAAACTTAAAACCATTACCTTTTAAAGGTCAATAAAATAAAGTCAAAATACTATTCAGTGTAGAGAAAGGGGAAGGATGGAAACAAGGGGAAACAGAAAGGGGAAAAAAAGAAAAAAGGCATAAATAAAAATTTTATTGGTATAAATTAATACAATACAGTAAGAAAACTATGTTAAATATGTAAAATGCAAAAGGTTTAAGTATTGGGGTAGCTCCTTCCTGGTTCCTCAAACTGGAAACTGAAATGTGTGTGTAGGGAGGGGGCCAGTTGAACTATGACCTCTCACCTACCCCATAGTTTATGTGGTTTCTGAATCTATTTTGGACAAATGTCTAATGTCTCCAGAGCTTTCTCAGAATGGGCATTCTCCTTTCTTCACATCAGGGGCTCCGCTGGCCACATTTAGGTGTCTGACATGGGCTAGGTACCAGGTACCATCCTGGGGTGGCTGTTTTTAGCTGGGGAAGAGGTAGATCTCCCAAATTTATTAAGAAGCAACAAGAGAACAGAGGGCCTGCTCTAATATTGTTGGAGCTTCAAAGTTTGGGCCTCTACAAATAAGGCGGCTTCAGAATTTGATCTAACCTCTGGAGTTGGACTCGGCTCTCGCCACGCTTGAGGATTATTCCGGGTAGATGAGACTTTCCCTCTCTTCATATACTTGTCAGCCCCCAGGCTCAGCATATAAGCCTTCTTTCACCTGAGCCCTATGGCAAGCCAAATTAAAGTTCCATGATCTGTGGGTATTCCCTAGACTCAGGGCCCCAAAAAAACTCAGTCTTTAACACGAAATTAGATCTCAATATGGCATTCATCTGCTGCCCTCCTAGTTGCAGTGTGACAAAATGGGGTTTGTCTCCACAGCTGACCCATCTTACCAAAATCTACTGGGTTTGATTCTCATGAATATTGTTGGCTTTCCCTAGGAGGGCAACACCCAGGCTTCATGAGTCTTCTGAGTCTCCTCTCTCCACCAGGTTCTATGTCACCTGCTTCTCTATGACACATCCTCATTCCTTTCACTTCCTTCATGGTTTTCTTAGGATGAACACTAGGATAGTGTTTCCTTATTCTTCCTTTTTTCCCCTTTCTCTCTCCTTTATGAACTCACACAGAAGCACCGTGTAGTCTGCCATCTTGCCTGGGAGTCCACAGCTCAGCTTTCTATCATCCCATCCCCACTTTCTGTTTGTGTATAATGTGACATGATAGATGACAAAATGATGTTCACAAAGACGATGTAGTCTACCCCAAGTTCACAGAGCTAGTAACTGACACACTAGAGGATGTAAAACCAGGCATCTCTACTCCCCAAACCTGTGCTCTTAACCATCATAGTCAAGCATACTACATGCAGACAACCTCACTCACGAAGGATGCTCCCTGCCTGCAGTGCTACGTCAACCTGCTATTCTGGTACCAGTTCTTCTGTGGTTTCTCCGGCTCCACCATGATCGACTACTGGCAGATGATATTCTTCAATCTCTTCTTCACCTCCTTGCCTCCCATCATTTTTGGAATCCTCGATAAAGATGTCTCTGAGGAAACACTCCTGGCATTGCCTGAGCTATACAAGAGTGGCCAGAACTCTGAGGTGAGGCATGCAGCAGGCATGAGGGGATCTTCAGATTCTCCCTAAGCTCTAACTTTCCCCTACAAGAGTATTGGGCTGCAAGTCAGGAACTCTACTGTCTAGAGAACTCTACTGTCCACAGTTCTGTCACTTACCTCCTGTATTACTGAGTAACTCTGATAAGACCAAGTAGTATAGCTTAATAACACCTTGATTATATCACACGTCAACTGCCATAGCTGAAGCGGGGAGTACACATGGTAAGATTCCATCCCTCCAGGCTGAGAAGTACAGCAATTAAGCCCCCAAGACCCAGTTAAAAGCACATTTTCTGTTTATCCAACGAAACATCAAGGGCTAGGTAATACTACAAAAGATTTTATTTAGGTCATAGTTTTGATGCTACAAGTTTGAGATCATGTAGCTCTGTCTGCTCAACCTTCTAGGCAAGGTCCTACTCAGCACCATCATAGCACAGATGTGCATTATGATGCCATTACATGTGAGAAGGGGAGACCATGTGATGTGAGAGGAAGCTAGTGAGATTCCTAGGTCAAATTCTCATGGGAACTGTGACTCACTCTGAAACAAGCATTAATCACATTCAGAAAAGCACTCTCCTTTAGTGACCTCACCACCTCTGTAAACATCATCACACTGAGGACCAAGCTGCTAACATAGGAGCCCTTGGGGACACACTGAAATCATGTCCAACAATAACACCTGGTTTGTAGGATCCCTATGACTAACAACTAGTTTTCTCACCATTAGTAAGGCACTCAATGAATGCTTCTATTTCACAGTAAGGAAGGCAGAATTAGATTTTTACATTACATAGTCTAGCACTGTCTCAAGTAGACTTAAAAGCTTAGGGGGGGTCATCATCACATGGGTTTCTGTAAAGGCCATACTGCAGCTCTGAATGATCTTAAGAAATAATCCAAGTGGCGGCACCAGCCAAGGCACAAACAAGAAGGCTAGACAAAGAGATGAGAGCAACATTGGCTGCTTCCAATGGAGTTGTAAGGGAAGAGCTTTAAAATGCCTGAGAGAACAGTATGTACCTTGGCACCTTGAATAAACAAGGGCAAAGTCAAAGACAGAGGAGAAAGCAATACAGTAGCCCAAGAAGCCAAGATAAAGAGGGGGAGAGGCACAGCCCATCACAGGGTCTTCTAATTTTACCCTCCCCATGCGTTGGCCTGGCTGCAAAACATAGTCCTTCAGTATCTACCATAAAAAAAAATAATAAATCATGTTTCCTTTTTTCTCAAAAAGGGAGAAGAGCAAAACATACGATGAGAAATCTTATCTCTAAAGTAGTTGATCTCTGGCTCTTGGGAGCATTGATTCTGGTCTATGAGTGAGCTCTCCACCTCTGATGGCACTTAGTGACTCCAGGATAGCAGTCCTAGTAACAGAGATAATAAGTGGCATTGACAGCACTTTCTAGATACCAAGGCACAGTTGCATTTAGTTCCCTTAAACTCCAAATTTTCTGGGGAAAGAAAGTAGTTCTCATAAAAGGTTCATAATTTGAGTGGCAGCACTAAGACTCCATTCTTTTGGAGCTAAGATGACAGGTGTGCAAAGACCAGAGACTTGCCAGGATGCTAAGTAATTGGTGTGTTCTTCCCTGCAGTTCTACAATCTGCCAATGTTCTGGATTTCCATGGTGGATGCATTCTACCAGAGTCTCATCTGTTTCTTTATCCCTTACTTGGTAAGTCATATAGTTCCTTCCTAGACATGTAAGTAACAGTGTGAAATGGGTCTTAGTTATAGCAAATCATAGACTAGTTGTGCCTTTTTACATGCATCATGGCAGAGACTCCAAATGAGTAGCTGAGTACATCCAACTCAAGGTATTTGAGATGATAGAACACTTTCTGCAAAACTTCATTTCTGGTACCCTTGAAAAGCCAAAAGCTGTCATTACACTGGGTTATTTCCCCTCATGGAAAAGCAATACAGATTTGATTCATGGCCCACTTAGGGATTGTATTGTCAGAGATCATGTTTTCTGACTTCCTCTGCTTTTGCATCTTTCCGCAGAGCCCCCCCCCTTCTCAGTACATGTTATATGTTATATACTTTCACAGTTAAATTATATCATGTCTGTAATTCTGAAGTGCTACAAAGGATTTGGCCCAGCCTCGGGGGGGGGGGGGCATTGTTGGTCAGAACTTCTTTCTATAGTTCTTGCCCTAGAACTGAGAGCATTTGTTTTAGTTAGGGTTTCTACTGCTGTGATAAAATATCATAACCAAAATTAACTTGGAGAGAAAATGTTTCTTCAACATATGGTTTTACATCACAGTCCATCACTGAGGGGAGTCAGTCAGGAACTCAAATCAGAAACCTGAAGGCAGGAACCGAAACACAAGCCATAGAGGAATTCTACTCACTGGCTTGTTTCTCTTTGCTTGACCAGCCTGCTTTCTACGTTTCTTTCTTTCTTCTTCTTTTTTTTTTTTTTTTCTAAATAGGATATCTCTATGTAGACCTAGCTATCTTGGAACTCACTGTGTAGAACAGGCTAGACTTGAACTCTGAGATCCATCTGCCGCCTGAGTTCTGGGATTAAAGTTGTGCCACCACCACCTGGAAACCTGTTTTCCTATAGCAACCAGGACCACCTGCCCATGAGGAGCACCCTTCCACATCAATAATTAGTCAAGACAGTGCTCTACACACCTGGCTACAGGACAATCTTATGAAGGCATTTTCTCAAGTAAAAGTCCCTCTTCCCAGAGGTCTAAGTTCATGTCAAGTTGACAAAACCCAGTCATCACACTGCCTGTTCCTAGATTTGATCTCTGCCTGAACTATAGTTTCCTTATCCTAATATGGTCCCAGCTGATAAAGCTTTATTTGTGCTCGCAGGGTGTCTGAGAGTGTGTGCTATAAGGACTGAAATATATCACCATCTAACCTGCCTAATAGATCACAAACTCCTTAAATGTAGACACATACCCTCAGCGATCTGGGCAATGACTAAGAATGTTCAAGAAAGCCTTTGTTCACCTATTCCACCATGGTTTTCCAACATACACCAGAGCAGACATGTTCCTGAGCAATTTAATCCCATCCACTCATTTTTCATGTCAGTTCCTTGAACTAATCCCTTCTTTTCACCATATTTCTTCCCTTCCCTTGACTCCCAGCTTCATTGTATTGAATACATAGCCTTAAATCTGTGCCTGCCCATGTATGCCTACTTGACAGTGCCTGTTTGTTCTTCCTCCTTAGACCTACAGAGGTTCAGATATAGATGTCTTTACCTTTGGAACACCAATCAACACCATCTCTCTCACTACCATCCTCTTGCACCAAGCAATGGAAATGAAGACATGGGTAAGGATCCCACAGGCCATTTAGATTAAAAATTGCATTCTTGTTCATTGACTGAATTCAAATTTCTGAGTTCTTTTACTCTATACAGTTCATCTAGCTCAGTAAATTCACTGTGCAGCTATAAAGCAGTAGGATTGGCAAAGATACTAGCATTGCTGGCCTCAGCATCAAGACATGATGACAACACTAACACCCATAAGGCAATGAGACAGTTTCATCAGATTTATACTGATGAAAAATTCAGGAGCGCTGCAGAGATAGGAAATACTAGTCTGAGTACAGTTGAAGCTGTGTATATAGGGTTATAAACCATTTAACTTAGTTACAGCAAATCAAGCGTTTCCAAATATCATATTTTGGGAATCATAAAAGACAGGCTGAAGAGGTGGCTTAATCAATAAGGTGAGGACCTGAGTTTAATACACAACACCCACAAAAAGCTCCAGATATGGTAGTGTGTACCAGTGCCAGGAAAATGGGGATAGGAGGACCCCTGGAGATGGTTGGCTAGCTAATCTAGCTGAATCAACCAGTGCCATGTTCAGTGGGAGACCCTGTCCCAAAATCTAAGAGTTTGAGGAAAATAGATACCAAAATCGGCCTCTAGCTGCCACATTCAACCACACATGTACAGAGAAAGATCGAGCTCTCTCACTGAGTTTCACTAATCAATAACTCTAAAGAGCTCAAAATTATATGCCAAGCATTGATTATGTACATTACCTCATTTAACTTCACTAGGTCCTTCATGTTAGATTTTTTTAATTATCCCATTTTAAAGATTTAGAAACAGATATAACAAGATTAAGAAACCTGCCCCAAGCAGTTTAAACTAGAAAAGAATATTGAGCCCTGTCATTCTGATCCTTGTGTTTTTAAACCACTTTGCTAACAATAGAAGAGCATAAGATTTGGTGGTACATGGAGATCACAGTACAGAAAGGTCTTTCCATAGTCATGTTAAAATGACTGTTTCTGAAATAACATGAACTAAAAACTTGAAAACGAAAACATATGCCTTCATTCCACAATGAAACTTTCCCCCCTCAGCACCTTCCACCATCACAAGCTTAGTTAGTGGCCAATTGGATGCACCAAGAGAACCTCTGGGCCAGAGAAGTCTCATCATGAAAATCTTGTTCTCTAATGTGTGCCAGTGACAACAGAACAACATGATAAGCCTGGCTATGCCTCTTTTGTCCTAAGTTCCGGTTCTTTGTGGATCACCAATACCAGAAAAGGCTATGGAGAGGAGGTCAGGTACAGCATGCTCTAGGAGCAGGACACACACATGCCAGTGGGGAATCTAGACCTCCATTTATTGCTGGTCCAATTATCTCTACTCTACAAAGCAAGCTATGGAAAAATATGGTGGCATTGATAAGCTCCTGGTGTATAGTTATATCAAAAACAGTGAGTGAGAAATGAAAGAGTCAAAGACTTTGATACTAAGAACTGAGGCCAGTTCATGAAACTTCTTTTCTATTTCATTTTACATTCCAACCAAAGTTCGCCCACCTGGGAAGCTTTTAGAACCCACCCAAATGAAAAATTATCATTGAAATTAAAAGTGCAATCTCTGTAATCATTCTAGATCAGAAGGAAGGAAGCTAGCAAATTGGGAAGTAAAATTAGAAACTCATCTAGAATGTCACACAAATAAACAACTGCCTTTTATTGAACATCTCTGGAAAGGAGAAAGTTATCTTTTCTTTAGTGTCTTTTATGAGGATAGGAAGTTCATTCATTGGGGACTCCTAAAATTCCCTCCCCAAAACCCCATTTTCAAATGCTATCAATTGAGTGTTTCAACATATAGATTTGGGAGTAGTTATAAACATCCAATCCTTTAGTAAAAGGGATACATATAATGATAAAGTAAGAATGCATTCATAAACATGGGTGTATATACATGTGCAAAACTTGCCTAAAAATAGCTAGGCAGGCCATTTACAAGAGATATATGGTTACTTTAATTGTATCTATAAGGTTTGCTGTGCTTGAAATATTCCCCTCAAATAAATTCTACTATCTATGATACTCTTAACCATTATACTTTTTAACAGAACTTTAAAAGCTGAGTTGGTTTTCACAACCTAGCTAAGCAATATGAATGTTTGATCCATTAAATTGCCTGTTTTCTGAGTGCTTGACATTTGTGTATGTCTTCAAAAAGGTTTAAAGCAAAGGTTAATTAAGCTATGTGCATTTTGCTGCCCCATAATCTAATCAGAACTTCCAACAGCATCTTCTTTGTCCCCTCCACAGACTGTCCTCCATGGCCTTGTCCTCCTTGGGAGCTTCTTGATGTACTTTGTGGTTTCCCTGATCTACAATGCCACTTGTGTTACCTGCAACAGCCCCACCAATCCCTACTGGGTAATGGAAAGGCAGCTCTCAGATCCCACATTCTACCTCATCTGCCTCCTCACACCAGTCGTGGCTCTTCTACCAAGGTTTGAGCTCTTGAGCAATACCCTATAAAATTCCCAGTCTACCCTAAGTCCCCATAGCCCAACAGTATTAGTTACATTTCTCACTGCTGTGAGGAGATGCTTGGCAAAATCAACTTCAGGGAGGGATTTGTTTTGGCTCATGGTTTGAAGGTAAGGTTTATCATGCTCAGAAAGCAGAGAGATGTGAATGTGGGTACCCAGCTCACTTTTTCTTCATAACCCAAGACCCCAACCCACATTCAAGGTGGCTCTTCCCTCCTCTGATAAACCTTTCTAGTGTACACAGGTACACCCAAAGGTATATTTTCATAACATACATCAGTCAAGTTGACCAGAGCCTTAAGACCAGAGACATAAGATGCTGGGATAAAAATACAATAAGACAGAGGGTAAATAACATAGGCTCAGGTCAGCCATAAAGAAGCAAAAATGGCTCTCATTGTGATGTATGTACTACGGGAGTACTCATTTGACCTCCCTGGCTTATAAATTTTGTTGTGTAGTAAGGAAGCATGTTTTTAAAGCTCTGTAATCCTTTTCTATCAGTTGGGAATATCATACCCCAGTGCCTATAGAAGAGGGAGAAGTCCCAGCGAGCCACACAAAGTGCACACATGAGGACAAAGAACTTCTTGTCATCACAGGAAAGAATTGTAAAGCAGAACTTCTAATTTCTCTCTGAAATTTTAAATTGTTCATAAGATAGCCAACATTTTAATATCGCTTAAGTTTAAAACCCTGTGTAACATTTTTAAAAGGGTCTGTTACCAAGATAAATCATCACATACTATTTATTTTCTGACACTTCTGACCTAAAAATGGCTGCTTTCGCATTTTCAAGGAAAATACCAGCAACAATAGTGCTTCTTTGTGAAGCTCGTGATTGATATACATTGTGTGGCTCGAAGCTCCTTTTTTCTATCAGCCAAGTATTAGACAGAGCTACGGATCTAGACCATGAAGCAGCTGAAGGCCTACGTACCAAGATGTGTCCACAATACCAGTACAAACCACAGTGGGGGCAAGGTTCTTCTGACTGAAAAGCCACTGTTCTACTTTCTGACCTCATACTCTAGTCAGAAAAAAAATGGGTAAAGTTAATGATAATGTCTTTGTAGGCAAAATTTAGGCTTTCTCCTTCCTCAGGATCTCATTATTTTGCACATCAGAATTGAGCCACCTGTCATTACAGGCTAGTAAATGGACAATGGCAACATTGTGTAGACCTGTTTCTGCCCTACAATAGGTAGAGAGCTGTGAGCAACCTTGCTTCATCTGCTTGTGTCATCTTCCTAAGTCATTTCAGAACCTTGGCTTCTGGAGTCTGAAAATGCTACTATGAAAAGTAGTACAGAGGTTAGCAAATGTCATAGACTCAAATTGAGTTCTGAATATTTACTGTGTGCAGGACCTCCCACCTTGACTCCACATCTCTAAAATCTGTTTCAAATTTGGAAATAAATGCCACCAAACTGCTTAGACACATTTTGGTTCCAGACCCTCTCACTTCTATGCTGCTGTGTCAATTTGAAATGCTTCTTCCTCTACCAAAGCCCTTTACACCCTTTGACCTCATGACAGCATGACCATTTTCAGAAGTCCTATATCATCTCCTACCATCCTTGGAGTATAGCAAATCTCTGAGGTTCCCAATACCTGTGTGTATATCTGTTGCTGCCAGTTTTTCCAGCATTCAATTTATGTTCACATCTTCTGAGGTAGAGAAGAACATTTTGTCTTTATTCAGCCATCGCCTAGCCATTCCTGTCAAATAATCTGTGCTCTGAAATGAAGGAGCAACAGATACTGGACAATAAGAAAGATGGATAGGACAGACTTTAGCTTCTTACAAGTCATCATCCAGCAGAGACATTGCACATAAGTCTATCATACAGGTGAAAGTGGCTGATCCATACAGGATCCTCAGAATATAGAGTAAGCAAAAATTAAGAATAAGTCCAAGCTTCAAGAATGGCAATACCTACCTACCCCTCCTTCAATGCAACCTTGGGGACAAAACCCTGAGAAGGATGGGAGGAACATGCCCTTGTTGAAAAATTCCATCAGAAATGTCAGTGGTTTGTTGGAAGGAGGGGGAGTATGACAGTGTGCATTTGCTACATGTGTACAGGTGATTGTGGAGACCAGAAGAGGATGTCAGACGCCTGAAACTGGAGTTACAGATGTTTTGTGAACTCCCTGATATGGGGGCTAGGAACTAAACTCAGGCCTTCCAGAAAAGCATAGAGCACTCTATACTTTTAACCACTTAGCTGCTTCTCCAGCCCCAGAGTTTTTTGTTGTTGTTGTTTGTTTGTTTTACTTTGCTTTGTCCCGATTTTGAAGTTAAGCAACTGTGGTAATTGTGGTCAGAGCGAGCTTCTCTATTCCACATATTATTTGGAAACTAGAAAGAAATTCATAAGCCCAGTGTTCTTTGTTAGAAAAACGCTTGGAGCCAGTGTCTTACAAGGCTAAAGCAGCAGCTTAATAAAGGCCCTTGAAAGATGTGCAAGGACTGTTGACACATGTGGAATGAACAGATGGGCATCAGCTTGATGGCGTGCTGAACAGATGAAGGATGAGTTGAGAAAATGTTAGCAAATAGGTGCTTGCTAGTGACCATGATAAACAGGCCAAATCTTTGCTTATTCTATATTATCACCACAAAGTTGAATTCCCACTTAATTCTATTTATCAGGTGAAAGGGATTTCTTCTGATAATGAAGGGATTATTTTAATAGTTGTAAGGACTCCTGACATACAACCTTGGCATAATTCTCATTTGTTTATAGAAATCCACACGATAGAATGTTTGCTGTAGAAAACTGCTCCTGGCTTAAAGTTGAAAGTCACATTTCTCATAATGGGCATTGATCTTACCTACCAATCTTGTGATAAATAGACCATTAATCATAGTCTAGCTAATTCACTCTGCACAACAGGACAGTATAATTCCCTTCAACTAGAAGTAGAGATATATACAAACTATTTTATGAGTTTAAAAACAGATTGGCATAACAAGCTTAATCCTTTTAATTAGTAGTAGCAAAGTAGTAGCAAGTAGTAGCAAGTAGTAGCAAATAGCCTTCTTCCTTGACTTTTATGACTTACTCACTTTTGAACTCTCTTCCCACTTCTCTTTCTTCCATTTGCAATGCACATTCTAGATAGAGTGACTGCCAAGCCTTTATCCCAGGTTCACTGGTCTCCTAACTTTATGTTTTCTCCACAGACCCAGAAATTACATTTCTGACTTGAAAGAGCTTTCTTAACAGATGCTTCCCAACACAGGCCTCTCCTTGATTCCCTCTCCATGTCTCTAGCTTAGTCATCAACTGCACTTGGCATATTTAGTATAAGAAAAGCCAAGAGCACCTATAACTTGCTCAAGGTTTACCCCACAAATCTCAGTTTCTTCACAATTCCCTTCAGCTAATGCCAGGACCCAAATCACCCCTTGCCCATTATCCTTGCCATCGCCTATGGCTACATATTCAGAGTTTTCACAGAAACAAGTTAGCAACTCTGCCTGTAGTAATTTCTACAGCTGCCATCATAAACAGGTTACTCCCGTGACACCCAGAGATTGAATAATTTGTCTCCAGTTAAGACTTTTCTCGAAAAAAAAAGACTTTTTTCACTATCCAATATTAATGTATCAAAGTCTGATCTAGCCATCCATTTGTCAGTGACTCCCTTGGGTTTTTACAATAAAATAGGAAATACAAATCATGATTCACAGTCCTTGACTACTCTAGTCCTTCCGTCCGCATGTTGGATCTATCTCTCACTTTCATACCTCAGCTAGTTTGCCTGGGTTTTATTTCTCATCCTTGTGCCTGACTATAGAAAACCTCAATCTTCATCCTAAGTGCTTCTTCTTCAGGGATGGTCTTCAGATGAGACCAAGTATTTAACCTTCTCTCCATCAGTAACTGAGCTCTTATGCAAAAGAGATTAGGCATTCTCTCTTGTTAAAAACTTAATGCTATAGGACCTGCCTGTTGTGGGGACTTGACGCATATTTGTTGAATGGAGGATGAAGGAGAAAGTGTCCTGAGAGATTTGGACTAAGGAAAGTTTAGTTTCCAGATAAGAAGTCCAATCTTTCCTAAGTATATACATGGCCCCTATTTACTCTCTGGTGGGGTAAAAATAAGGGAAATTTTATCTATGTTGGTGGGATCTACTACAGTCTTTAGAAAACCCTTGGCCTCTGTGGGTTCACCATGCAACTATCAAATACAATAAAAATAAGACTCTGCATACAAGGCTTTAAAATTAACATTGTTAAATGTCCTCGAGGCCAGATGGATTGCTCTTTAGATAACACTCAGGAAAGGAAATGTGGGTGGCCTATGATACAAGATAACATATACTTAACCTTCTCACCTTTCCACTTGCCTAAATTTGGATCCAGAAAATGAATTCAGAGTCTTCCATAGGCTACATGCAGCCTTGCAGGAAAATGGCAAGTCAGCATGACCTCCTGAGATCTCAGACCTTTTCAGGAGACCTTGACAAGCATCACCTCAGCATCCACTGTAAGGGTTTTGAAGTAAAAAAGGTATCCTGGTGGTAGGAGGGACAAGGAATGCCACAAAAGTCACACCACACAACAGACCTCACCTTGGGGTGTCAGTTTCCTCACAAGGAAAAGAGTAATTATATGAAGTTTCACCAAAAAAAAAAAAAAATACTGATGGATAGTAGATAAAAGACTGGCTTATAGATCTAGAGAACTTGGGTTTGACCATAGCTTGACACTGGGTTGGTTTTCACATCTATACACAAAAGGAAATAAAAGAGTTATGCATTGTGTAGACACGCTAAAACATAAGAAACACAGCCTCAGGCAATCTCATCATACTTCAAACATCACAAAATACACTCATATAAAATAAGTTGGCAATGTCTCCAAGTGACTGAAGCATGTGTGCCTTATTGCAGGTCAAAGACAGCCTCGTGGTTCGTGACTATGCCAAGCACATGAATTTTTGAGAAACTGAGTCAGTAATTAGCAAAGCTCTTTGAACAGTCCTGCTACAGAATAAGCACTAATTGTTGTATTTTGTTGGTGTTATCATGCTTCCTCCATCTCCAGAGGCAGCCACCCTTATCTTTGAGAAGTGATACTCAGAGTGCAATAAAGACAATTTCATGGGGGAAAAGTTAGAGTCTAAAAGACCTTTCAATGCTGAAATTGTAAGGCACCAACAACTCAAAAACTACCTTTATTCTTTTACTTCCCACTAGGTACTTTCTCCTATCTCTACAAGGGACTTATGGGAAGTCTCTAATCTCAAAAGCTCAGAAAATTGACAAGCTGCCCACAGACAAAAGAAACCTTGAAATCCAGAACTGGAGAAGCAAACAAAGACTTGCCCCTGCCTCTGCCTCTGCCTCTGTTCCTGCTTCTGGCCCTGCCCATGCTCAACCCCCATGCCATCCAGTACCACCTGCACAACAGCAGGACTTAGGAACCACCACCCCAAAGAACTGCAGCCCTCCCAGAAAGAAGCATACTGAAGACTGGGTTCTCCAGAGTCCTAGATGCAACAGAGAGCTCTCGAGAGATGAGACATGCTCAGGGGACTCCTTGGCTAAACTCTCATCTGGGGAATGCCTTCTGAGTCCAAACAGGACAATGGCACCCACAGCCTATACCAGGGGACAGAAGGATGTGTCACGACACTCAAGCAAAGGCAGCCATCGCCGCTCTCAGAGTTCATTGACCATATGATGGGACTGCAGAAATCAGAGATTGATATAAACTCAAAAGAGACCACCCCAATCACTGACAAGTGACCTAGTTCCTGTCCTCTCTGTATAGGAATGATTGTCAGTTTTATCAATTCTACTCACCAGGGTTGACTTCCTTCAGGAAATGCTGGCCCCAAAGGGGGCTGAGCAAAACTGTCAGGCCCACTGACTCTAGCTTTCTTCTGCTGCTAGGTAGAACATCTTGAAAACAATAGACTGGATCTGAATGGTATGATTTTGTTGCATTGTGTTCCAAAGTTTCAGCCCAGGTACATCCTTATGTGCTTCTAAATGAGTAAGGCCTATGATCGCAATGCAACCAGGCAGTAAGTATCCAAGATTCCAACCAGTATTATAAATCTTTGAAATGTATCAGAATACAAAGTTACTAGGCTTGTCAAGCCATCACCTCACCACACACAAGGGTTCACGTTTCAGAAGAGACCTTCACACACAACAGCTTCATCTCAAGATGACTATAATACCAAGTCCCTTCCATGAACAGAGTTAGGGCTGCCTCTTCCCTCTAAGCCAGTGATTTTTCAGCCTTCCTAGTGCTATGATCCTTTAATAACATAGCTCCTCAACCATAAAATTATTTCATTACTCCTTCATAACTGTGATTTTGCTACTGTCATGACTTGTAAATATGGGATATGCAGGATATCTGGCATTCGAACCCCAAAGTGGTTGTGATCCAGGTTGAGAACCACTACTCTAAGCCAAAGATCTGAAGATGTAAATGAGATTAAATAGGATTTACATGGGATACAACAGATCCTGCCAAGGGCTGTGGGGTTACAACTCTTACAAAGAGAAAGGAAGAACACACATACTAAAGGTTTTCCACTATTGGATCATATGCCCCACCATCTGAGGAATATTCCAAAAGCGCATAGCATTCTCTTCATCAAACTACGTATTTATTTGGAAATAAAACTGTCCATCCTCATTCAACTCTTAGCATTGCTTCCCTCAAGAAGAGGCCTATATGACAGAGAAACTATGAATAGAGAGTGGCATCTTCAAGTTTAAAACCTACACTAAGCAGCTTATGCCAGATTGCCATGGCCATCGTTGACCCAAGATTCAGCTAAGCAGTCATGGGAAAAGAATTACAAGTGCTTCATATCCCTAGAAGTTGCTAATGCTAAAAATATTTTTAAAAAAATTAAAGATTTTTATAAAAGGCTGGATGACAGTCCCCAAAGCTATCAAGATATGCTAGGTCTGCTATGACCAGCACTAGCCTATTCCAAGTCTTCAAAGTTAAGCCAAGGAGTGTTCTTTGCCCTAGTCTCCTATGAAAGTACCTATCTATACATTTGGGCAAAAAGTCCAAGGATGGGCAAACTATAACCTTTGTGCCCAAGTCATCACCACCAGCCATGCATTGGTCTGTCACTTAATTCCTCAGCAATGATACTAAGAAAAAAGCTCAACAATCAAGAGGGCAAATAGCAGAGTGAGCCAACTCTCTGTTCATCCTTGTGGAAAACAAAGACTGGTGAAGCCATTTGGAGCATCATCTTAAAGCTCTGCCATGTAATGAATGATGCCAGCATGAGCCAGAAGGTGGGGTCTTGAGGATCCTACAGAAAAGCTGGCATGGCCATACAGGAGGTGGGAGATGAGTGATGGATAAGCAGGGAGGGGCTGATCCAAGTGGAAAGATTCATCAAAACTTGGATCTCAAACCCCTTTCCCTATAAGATGCCTGCCTACTGCCAATAGTCAGAAATCCCAGTAGTATATTCTAGAAAATAACAGAACACTGACTCCAGCAGATTGGAGTTTATGTGTTTGCTTTTCCCTATAGTCTTTAGAGGACCTTGAAGCAGGTCACCATGCTTGCAAACTAAGTTTAAGTAGCTCTACCTCCTGGCACAAAAATCCAGTCCAAATTGCATGCAGTGCACTGATGAGGCTTTCAGAAGGCAAAGGCAGTCCTTAGTAGCAGAGCAAGTCTCACTGCTGAGGGAAAACAAGATAGAAAAGCTGAAAGAAAATGTAATACCCACCCCATACCGAAATCCAGGCTCTGTTAGACATTCTGACACTGCTCTTTTTTCTTGCATGACTGACCATCTCAGTTTGCCTGGGATGATCCCATTTTTACAGTTTCCCACATGCTGGGGAGCATGGGCCATCTGATCATCAGTGGTCACTTACTCTTGCCACTCTTTGTGACCCAAACCAGCTGTGTGACTGTCTGATGTGCCACCTCACTCATAGGGCAGCTCTAACGTTCCCCCCTATAGTGTAATGCTAGTGATTGTGTGTAGTTCATGTTATATGTATATAATCTTTTTACTGATTGACAGGAAACATGTCATCTTTTTTTTAGAAAGAAAGAAAAGAAAAATAAACTTAGTTTTTTCCATAGTGATCAGACAATCTAAAATTCTTATTATTCTTCCTAGACATTGTCATTACTGTTCCTGAACATCCATTCATCCATTTATTCTTCTTTGCAGGTCTTCATTCATTTATCTATCCAAGAAACCTCAGTAAGTCCCTGCTAAGTAGTTCAAAGTGCAACATGGGCTGTGAAGAAGTTAATACCTGCCCTCACCTTCCTTCCATACCTACCTTTCCAGGCTCAGGGCATTAGGAGTTTTTAGCTCAGTGTGAGAGAAGAATACAAACTATGTCTATGGGCTGTAAGAATTAGAAGCAACACACACTTACATTAAAGAACTCTATCCAAACTACTTCTGTCCTGCAAGCCTAGCACACACCCAAAACCTAGGCTGACTTGATCATCTCCACCATTTTATTGTCAATGTGAGTGATTGCATGGGGGTCTGAGTTCAAATCCCTAGTACCTACATAAAAAGTCTATGTGTAGCCAAATGTACCTGTAACCCCAATATTATGGCAAAGGGGTGGGATGTGCACAAACAAGAGGATCTCTAAGATTTAGTGGTCGCAAACCTAGGTTCTAGGTTTAGTGAGAGAGCCTATTTCAAGGCAAAGAGTGGGAGAAGATGAATACCCAATCTCTTCTAGCCTCCATATGCACAAATATCACACAGCAACCCCACAGGATAATGGTTTTATCTAGCCTGGTCTAGTAACTTCAATGGTACCTCAGTTACCTCAAAGCTCAATGTATTGACCTTACCATTACTTTGTCTGATGTAGGTGGAGCTTACATATATCTGTGACCCAACCTGAAGGATTGGGATCTCACTACCTGCAGGGTCTCTCATCCTCAAAAAGGCCAGCTAGACTTTGTCATTGGCTGCAGAATTGTAAAAAGGAAAGTTGTAAGACCTCCTGTGATCTATGCTGAGAACTTGTATACTTGCTGACCACATTGTCCATGGAAGAAAGTCACAAAGTCAGCCCTGTTGCAAGAATGTGGGGAAATGCACTGTGCCTTTTCAGGAGAGACACTATAGAGAAATTGAATGCCATTTGCAGTTACCCATCCCCACCTAGTAGAGGAAGGAGATGAGGTAAAGAGAAGTCACATAAATACCAACAGGTCAGGTGGCATTCTAAACCTAGGAATCTGAAAGCAGAGGCTGTGTGTGTACTTCACCAGAGATACATGACTCAAGATAAGACCAGAGGGCAGATAAGGACCAGAACCAGATGATATTCTCTGAAGAGGCAGGGTTTCACAATGGGGAGGGTCCCAGAATTTCATCTCAACTCTGGTACAACCTAGAAATGTAACCTAGGGAAAGACCATTCCACACAGTGTAGATCCAGGTTGTATCCCAAACAAAAGTCTGATGCCAGCATTTAGGGGGAGGCTGAGCTACTCCTTACATTGCCAAGCAATATCTCCCCTGGTGGCCCTTCTGCCACTCCAGACTGAGCACCTACCTAGGCTGTTCCATGTGGAACCCTTTCCTCTGCTTTCTAGTGCCACCTAGCAGGATAGAAAGAGGTACTGCACCTGAGAGGGCTTCAGACAGTGGAGTCCTTTTGACAGCAATGAGTTGGGCTGCTGGAGATTAAAAAAACAAACAAACAAACAAAAACAAAAAAAATGGAGGCCAGATTTCAAGTCTTGATGGTATTGTTTCCATGGTAACTTTGAAATTATCATCTCTTAAGTAGGGCCCTTGATTAGTTCTTGAAGCTGTTTGGGGAGGCTGGCTATGGTGTAGACTATCCTATCTATGATGGTTCTCAAACCTGCAGTTTACTATCTGTGCATCTGCATGAGTCTGTATAGCATTTACACATAAACACAGAGAATGGAAAATCCCATTTAAAAAAAAAATGCTTTCCTGATGTCCCTGGTGCTTGGAATATGGCATCACATGACAACAGTGTAATACTGCCACTGGAGAAATCATGAATGGGGCTGACCTTCTGGGGCTGAGTAAAGCTGGGAAGGCATCAACCCTTTGAAGAAGAATAACAAACCTCCCTATCCTTTTGAGGACCTAGATTGACTTTTCAGATCAGTAGATAGGTGTTGATAAACTGTCTTGTAAGGGGATCCTTAATGAAGGGCCAAGGCAATCATCACTTTCAACTGTCTGGAGGGAAGCTGGAGGAAATACATACCTTTCCTTTACATACACCCTCAAGCACACTAAGGACCAGACATCTCCATCAACATTACGATACATTCCTAATAAACATGGTTGCTTACTATGTAAATAAAGCACAAAGTCAATATTCCTGTGCCCCTCCAAGTACAGCACTACCTCAAAATCATTGTCTAGGGATAGTTAAACAGATACTGCCCTATAACAGTCTATAACAGAGGTTTGACCCTCACAGGGAAGCCTGAAGAAAGGTAACCCAAGCACAGAAGGAGCCTCAGATACAATTGCAAAGAGGCTAGCAAACCAAACACTTGATGGAAATTTTTAAAAAGGATTTTCCTACATTTTTGAACCAATCATTTTAATTAGTGTTAGTTACAGGAGTATGAATGGGGGTGCGTATTTTCTAAACTACCTTTCCAGTAGCTACAATGCTGAACAAAATGTATCTCCCTTACCCAGCAAATATAATTAGCCCATAGATCTTCAGAGATGGGTGGGCCTTGTCTTTGTCTGTAAAGAGACAACATATCAAAGGCAACTTTTACAAAAGAAAGCATTTAATTGGGGCTGACTTATAGTTTTCAGAGGTCTAGTCCATTTTCATCATGGAGGGAAGCATGATTACACAAATGATGCTGGAGCATT